TAATATTATAAATTAATATTTCGGAATTTTTAATAAATTTTAATATTTTTCGATTTTCCAATATAAAAAATTATATTTCCGAAAATATAACAAAAATACGAAGTAAATATAATTTATAAGAAACAGAGAGTCAGGAAAACCTCATACAAATAAAAACCCATATCCCATAACCGCCGGAAAGCAAATACAAAGGCGGCAAATATTTGATATGTGAGTGGTGTTCAAAATTTCAGTTAAAATTAAATAGAAATTATTCATCCTTGGGCGAAATCCTTGCACGATCACAATGGGAGCTTGCGCGCGGTTAATTTTTCAAACTGAGCTTGCGCGACCTTGCGCGACGATAAATTCCTGAGATTTGGTGCATTTTTGCTTGCGCGATGCAGGCACGAAGCTGATTTCGGATTTGGGTTTCTTGGCTTCTCAGATTCTCGGCTCGTTCGGTGGTTTCTCAGCTTCTCGACTTCTTGGCTTGTCCGGTGGCTTCTCGACTTCCGGTGGCTTCTCGACTTCTAGGCTCCAATCAACGCAGGTCCTATTTTGCCAGCAGTATAGTCCCTGAATGCCTCCAGTGAGTGTATGGCCTTGAGCCAGAGTACAATCAGTACAGCGGCATGGCTCCCAGTCCGTGCAGTGGTTTTGCTTATTGTCCCGCTCAGAAAGAGCATAGTAGGAAAATGTAGCCCATATGGTGAGTCTACGATCATCTTGCTGCCGGTTTCTGTGGGGCATAGTGGCCAGGAACCCCTTTGCTTGCGCGAAGCTTGCGCGAACCTTGCGCAAAATTCAGGGTGTTTGAAATCTTCAAGGGTCAAAACTACACGCAATAATTAACTCCATGGCCTATTACCATTCAAAATCCATGGCATCCATTCAGAACCTTGTTTGCTTAAACTGACTATACCTTTGCAAGCCAGAGGGCCGACATACCAAGAAAACAATGCACAACGGAACTCGTCACCCATCTCGTCTCGTCCCAGTATGTTGTGTAACCCTTTTCGTTGCATATTCATTTTTATGTTTCAATTATCTACGTGATTTCGGGCTTGCGCGAAGCTTGCAGGTACATGAGCTTGCGCGAAGCTTGTGAAAAGCTTGCGCGCGTGTAACGCCATTCAATTTTTCAAAGAATAAATTCCACCGAATACTAAAATCAATTGCCGGAAGTTTTGAACGTGGCTCATGTTGTGGCATGATTGTGTGCCCCCAGAGCGCGCCTCTGCTTGCATACAACATGAAAAAATATCAGGAGGCCTCTTGTACACTTTTGGGATCCATTTCACAACATCTTGAACGCCGCGAGTAGTGTAAATAGTCCACAGAGGGGTTGCGAAATATTTCAAGATGTCTAGGTCCAGGTCTTCATTTTTTATTTTTAGGTATGCTGGATGCTAGGCTATGGGGCAAGGAAGCTGGCGGCAGCATATATTAAGTCCATGTTTGTCTTATTATATCACAGACAGTGCTACGGGACAAATTTCCCAATATAGATTCCAAATTTTCTACTATAATTTTCAAGATAAACATATATAGTTTCTGAGATATTTGGTATAAATTCCAAAATTGATTTTTGTCCACAAACAAAAAGGCCACCGGTTGTTCCAAAATACATTACAATATACTATAAATATTTATAAACTATAATAAGATAAATTATAACTTATAAATATAATATATATATATAATTATATGTATAAAGGGGTTTGGGCCTTGTTCCAGTGTATCAGGACCGGTCGGGAACGATTCTGAACGGTTCCGGACTGTTCCTGGTTCACAGGTATATCTAAATCTTATTGTTTTACGGGTTTTGCGACTATATTATATTGATTGTGTTCCTTCATATTGACCTACGGACAATGCTGCCATGTGGCCATGACTTTATTTTCAGCGTTTGACAGGTTTAAAACTGAAAGCAAAAACCATCGTCGCACATTTCCGAAGCACTCATTGTCAGCGGCGCGAGGACCTGCGAATAATATATTGCTCTGTCTAACTTCCCTTTCAACATGTTCTCTTGCCATTTGGAGTCGCAGGCGGCCTCATGTCACGGGCATGTTCTTGTTATTTGCGGGTGTGATGCGAGGTAGCTGGCGGCAGCATATGTTGAGTCCCCGCTTGTCTCATTACATCACAAACACTCTTATAGGACAAGTTTCCCAATATAGTTTCCAAGAATTACAATAGAGTTTCCAAGATTTGCAATATAGATTCCAAGATTGATTTTAATGATTTTGGAGTCTGACAGAAACCACTATATAAAGAGGCCACCGGTCGTTCCAAATTATACTAAAATTATCTTATCTTATATTATATTATGTTATGTTATATTATAGTATATGATATGATATTATAATATAAAATCAAATTACATTATATATAGTAAAATTATTGTTGTATTTATCTGAAGTTGTTTGAATATGTTGTAATAGACTACGAATAAGGTGAGGGTTCATTGATCGATTTGGTGTATCTATATTAGGCAATCTAGGCTATTTCAGGTGAAAAATCGCATTTTCTCAAGTTTTTGTCAGAGATCTTCTGCTAGATCTGCGATCCAGAAGAAACGGAAGAAACAAGTATGACGAGCCCTCTCGCCAAATATATATATATATATATATATGAACCTAAAAAAAAAAAAAAACGGGGCTGTCCGAGCCCTCATTCCAATTTCCGCACGCTACCTTCTTACCAATGGGAGGGAATTTATTTTGCCCCACGAAACATACCACGAAACACAATGTTTTTGACCTGAGGGCGACGCCTTGCAGTTGCTGTACTTGAATATTGAGCATTAGACCCGGCTGACTGATGAATGCTTCATGAAAACCGCTCGAAACCGAATCTTTGCGCCACCGAAATTATATCAAATTATTGCTCTCGTCCGGTGTGTCAAAACCTTCATCCTTCACAAAGAAGGCCGTACTTCGTATCCTACACGGTACTGATAGCTTAGTATTTGTATCTGTGTATCATGATTATTTTTTTTGAAGGATTGTCTAATTGTGGATTCTTGCATTTGCGGCGGCTGTGTCCTTTGCCTGGTTGTCAGGACTAATCTGGAGGACTCGAAACTGTAAAAGAATCCTTTATCTGACCAATTGTTCCTGAAAATGCTAACCAACTTATACCCTGGATGAGCCTTGATGCCAGCAAAAACAGCAAATGCAGCTGGATGATCTGCATGGCGCACCTCGGTGAGGTCATCGAGGTGCTTCAGCTCCTTGATCATCCCGTGTATACTTCGTGTCACCCCTCACCAGCATCCAACCAGCATCCAACCAGATCAACCAACCAACTGGTCTGCGTATGGTCTGCGTCCCGTCCTCTTCCAGAACGTGAATTCTATCCAGCATTTGCTGACGTTTTGCCACCAGAACCTGTGGCGCCAATGTAAGCTTTGCTGCTGAGTAATCTTAGCTTCCGATTATAAACCCCATCAATAATATGAAATTTTCAGGCTGAGCCTCACTTTTCTGTTGTATTCGTTTTCAATTGCGCCCCTCTACTTTTAGTATTCGGTCATGTTTTTGGCCATGAAAGACACCCCACAATAAGATATTTTTTTTCGGGCCGAATAATTTTGTTGGTATTGGTTTTTAATTGCGCCCCTTTACTTTTAGTATCTGGCACTAAAACAGTATATAATTAAAAGAAAAAAATCCGGGGATCAATTTTGAAACAATATAGAAAGGAAAAAAAACCTGAGATCAGTCCTGAAACAATATATAGAGGAAATTAGAGGAAAAAAACTTGAGATCAGTCCTGAAACAATATATAGAGGGAAAAAACCTGAGATCAGTCCTGAAACAGTATATAGAGGATAAAAACCTGACATCAGTCCTGAAACAATATATAGAGGGAAAAAAACATGAGATCAGTCCTGAAACAATTTATAGAGGGAAAAAAACCTGAGATCAGTCTGAAACAATATATACAGTAGAGGAAAAAAACATGAGATCAGTCCTGAAACAATATATAGAGGGAAAGAAACCTGAGATCAGTCTGAAACAATATATACAGTAGAGGAAAAAAACATCAGATCAGTCCTGAAACAATATATAGAGGAAAAGAAACCTGAGATCAGTCTGAAACTATATATACAGTAGAGGAAAAAAACATGAGATCAGTCCTGAAACAATATATAGAGGGAAAAAATCTAAAATCAGTCCTGAAACAATATATAGAGGGAAAAAATCCTGAGATCAGTCCTGAAACAATACATAAGGAGAAGAAATCTTGAAATCAGCTCTGAAACAATATGTAGGGAAACAAATACCTAAGATCAGTCCTGAAACAATATATAGCGAAAAAAATCCTGAGATCAGTCCTGAAACAATACATAAGGAGAAGAAATCTTGAAATCAGCTCTGAAACAATATGTAGGGAAACAAATGCCTAAGATCAGTCCTGGAACAATATATAGCGAAAAAAAATCCTGAGATCAGTCCTGAAACAATACATAAGGAGAAGAAATCTTGAAATCAGCTCTGAAACAATATGTAGGGAAACAAATGCCTAAGATCAGTCCTGGAACAATATATAGCGAAAAAAAATCCTGAGATCAGTCCTGAAACAATACATAAGGAGAGGAAATCTTGAAATCAGCTCTGAAACAATATGTAGGGAAACAAATGCCTAAGATCAGTCTTGGAACAATATATAGCGAAAAAAAATCCTGAGATCAGTCCTGAAACAATACATAAGGAGAAGAAATCTTGAAATCAGCTCTGAAACAATATGTAGGGAAACAAATGCCTAAGATCAGTCTTGGAACAATATATAGCGAAAAAAAATCCTGAGATCAGTCCTGAAACAATACATAAGGAGAAGAAATCTTGAAATCAGCTCTGAAACAATATGTAGGGAAACAAATGCCTAAGATCAGTCCTGGAACAATATATAGCGAAAAAAAAATCCTGAGATCAGTCCTGAAACAATACATAAGGAGAAGAAATCTTGAAATCAGCTCTGAAACAATATGTAGGGAAACAAATGCCTAAGATCAGTCCTGAACAATATATAGCGAAAAAAAATCCTGAGATCAGTCCTGAAACAATACATAAGGAGAAGAAATCTTGAAATCAGCTCTGAAACAATATGTAGGGAAACAAATGCCTAAGATCAGTCCTGGAACAATATATAGCGAAAAAAAATCCTGAGATCAGTCCTGAAACAATACATAAGGAGAAATCTTGAAATCAGCTCTGAAACAATATGTAGGGAAACAAATACCTAAGATCAGTCCTGAAACAATATATAGCGAAAAAAAATCCTGAGATCAGTCCTGAAACAATACATAATAAGAAGAAATCTTGAAATCAGCTCTGAAACAATATGTAGGGAAACAAATGCCTAAGATCAGTCCTGGAACAATATATAGCGGAAAAAAATCCTGAGATCAGTCCTGAAACAATACATAAGGAGAAGAAATCTTGAAATCAGCTCTGAAACAATATGTAGGGAAACAAATGCCTAAGATCAGTCCTGAAACAATATATAGCGAAAAAAATCCTGAGATCAGTCCTGAAACAATACATAAGGAGAAGAAATCTTGAAATCAGCTCTGAAACAATATGTAGGGAAACAAATGCCTAAGATCAGTCCTGGAACAATATATAGCGGAAAAAAAATCCTGAGATCAGTCCTGAAACAATACATAAGGAGAAGAAATCTTGAAATCAGCTCTGAAACAATATGTAGGGAAACAAATACCTAAGATCAGTCCTGAAACAATATATAGCGAAAAAAATCCTGAGATCAGTCCTGAAACAATACATAAGGAGAAGAAATCTTGAGATCAGTCCTAAAACAAGTTGCCGTTGCCGTTTGCCCGGATGTCAAAAGGCATTGTTGCGAATCTGTGCCAAATAGGGGTCTGAAACTGGTCTGAAACCCTTTAGAAGGTCCATCTGAGCCGCCGATTGCCACTTGGGGGCACCAGGATCTGCCCTGAAAAGGGACAATTGCCTCTGTTCAGGGGTCACCAACTGTAGTTATGTACATGGTAGCTTCGGAGCTTCCAGTAGCTGGATTCTGGCTTAAAGTATCGTTTATTATTGGATCTAAGCTGAAATCCAGCTACTGGAAGCTCCGAAGCTACCATGCACATAACTTCCTAATTATCAAATTATCATGCTGTATGTATGTCTGTATGTATGTCTGTAGGGAACTGAAATGAATTGACCTGAACTTGTTTCAAACTTGTTTCAAACCCTTTGAAACTGAAATCCTGAAAAAAATCTAATTGCGGGGTAGCTTTACATTATTGCGCAGGGGTGTGTGACGGTGTGTGTGCCATTAATCCGAAGCTAAGATTATCATCGAGTTGGCATCGGCAAATCCTCTGGACTACCAAGGGACGCTACCACAAGCATAGGTTGGTGAAATACTTCCATATGCTGGGCACTGTTGGGCCAACATAGCTTACCTGATCAAAAATGACTCCAGTAGTCTCCGAGCCGTGCCCAAACCATCCCAAACCCACGCCTTCTTGATCTCATTGGGCTGCTCCAACCGATGCCTGTTGCCGAAAATCTGACGGCATCTTATGTGTGAGCCAACAGCAGGCTGTGATGAACACGTATGAAAATGACACTGCCTGGCAGCTGCAACGTCTTCAGCTGCCATTCGCAACCTGGTTCGCTGCTGGAGCAATGGTTTGTTAAGAACAGCTCGGCTGCTGCCAGGCCTCTCGATCTGCATCTGCTCGTTTTCCAGCAGCAACTGAGCACATATGGGCTGGCAGTTGGAAGTTCTTAATGAAAGCTCAGAAGTCCACCTTCTGGGTGGTTTGGCGAAGTTCTGTCTCTGAGATCTTTCTTTGATTACCAGACTATGTGAAGACACTATATATCATATATATATATAATATTATTATATGAATTATATGTCTACTGCCAGCATGCGTAACATGCCAATGGCAATTCCCATGCGATCTTTACACAAAGCTCGCACAAGCACAAAACAGCATGCTTCTATATGCTTCTACAGATAATAGTAGAAAGACGTGAATCATACAAACGCAATGAGTTCAGGCGACTTGGGGTCTCCTATGATCAAAATCAGCACAAGTTCAAGTCCTCTCCCAACTTCGCCTTGTTCGTGTCATCGACCTTTCGCCGTCGCTCTTCAAACCATTGGTTCTGCTGCTGCAAATCAACCTGCAGTGAGGCCGCAACACGCAGCATGGCCGTGGCCAGCAGTCGGCAAATGCTCATTCATGTGATTAGCTGAGTGGAGGGGTGAAGCAATCAAGTAGGCACACGGGTCTGACACCTTGAAGAACATAAGAACCATAAACCAACCAATTGCATCCAATTGCAATAATTATGTCTCGAGAATCTGATGCTCTCGATGTCAAATTTCGTTGAACTAGTTCATGGCTTCGGGCTTGGCCACCATCTCTCAAACATTTTCAAGGCTGTGACCAAGGTCTGGAAGAGCTTTGCCTAAGCCAGCGGCTCGCTTAGGTGTCTGAATGGACATCTTCATGCAGCTGTCACATCTTAGGAATGCACCTGGTCATCAGCCTGCCATGCGGTCAAGTTTGTGCTCGTACGAAGGGTAACAGGGTGAAACAAGACAGCCAGAGAATGCCAAAGAGAAGCCACAAGGAAAGGCTCAGAGCTGAGCAACGATTCAAATGCACTCAAATACTCGGTTGATAATGCAACGTGCTTTTTGATATTGTACCGTGACGAAGGCCACTCACATTACATAACCAAAACATCCAAAACTCTGTTGCCATCTCCTCCAACCGCTGGCCGCCCGGGTGTCATACCTCTTTCTGTAGCTGAGAATTTCTCCTGCTCTGAGTCAATGCCCGATCTTTCGCCGCCCTGCGCTGGGCTGGTTCAAGTGCAGCATAGTGCAGCTATGGCCTGCGGATTGGAAATAATAAGTTATACTGAAGTTATAACAATATTAACAGCCATAGTATTCAATTCAACAGACTATTATACTGAATTAGTGCAGCTATGTTCCTCCAAGTTCAATTCAACAGCCCATTCTGTCACTAACTCAACTCATATTCTTGCAGTGGAAGGTAGGGTCCTTTGACCTGCATTGTTCCGCAGTACGCCTTGTCTGGGCCCCTGGGCCTGTTCCTTACCAGACTTACCAAGATCCCACTGTATGTCCACGAGCGCAATATGAATCATATATGAACCATATATGAACCATATATGAACCATATATGAACCATATATGAACCATTCGTCCTGGGGTAAGGCGCCTGAGCTCTCGTGACATCGACAGCAATTCGGCAACCAGCGGTTCACGGTACTTTGCATCAAGGTTTTGAAGTGCCAGCAGCACAGATGCCTGGTCAACCACCCCCTGATTCAAGAAAAATGATCCAGCTTATGTAATTGTAAGTATGCCATAATGTAATATATATAATGAATGTATTGAATAGTATCGCAAAGTCTTTAAGTAGTGTTGTGGAGTGGTATGGTGTGGTATATGATGGTCCGACATAATTAGTACAATCCCTACCAGTACAATCCAGCTTCAGGTAGCGGATCCGCTTACCTTCGGGTTGCCAAATCTGCAACAGCTGCCCACCTCTGTTGACCCTTTTGGGAAACTTGGCAGCGTGCTTGGCCTCTGATAGCCGGCCAATATCAAATTCCATGCCCGCCAGGGCCAAGGCCCGGGATTTTCGACATAAATGGAATTTTATAATGTGAAATTTTAATGCGGGTGGTAACCTTCCATGCATCCAATCATATCATATCCACACTTTCCACAAGTCAACAAAGTGCATCGCAACAGATTCTCCTGCCCTGCATTGCCTTGCCTCCGTGAGGGGCCACTTGGGGCATTGCACCCTTCCGGCCTTCCAGGTTGCCTGGCCATTGTGCAACAAAACGTCTCTTCAACATACCTCAACCAGTTCATTTCCAAGATGGAACTGCTCATGTTGCCTGATTTGATCTGATTTGCCCTGTTTCAGAAAGGACAAACTACCCACGTTTGCCATCTCGGGCTGCACTTCAGCTTGCCACTTTTTGAGATAATATGTAGACGGGTCTTGTCTGCTGAGATTAGGAAGGTGAGCGATCCCAAGATCTCATGTTTCGGACCTTGGGCCCCTTCAAGTGCTTTCAAACCAAAAAAATTAGCAGACGTAAGCAGAAGCTTCCAGCCATGTTGGGCGACGCTTCCTGTCATGCAACCGGCCACATGGGATTGTTGTGGATGTACCACTGGCAGCATCTGGACACGTTGCCCCCGTCTTTGAGTCCAGCGTGTGAAGGAAGCATCTAGACTGGCTACGGATTGTGCATGCCCCACTCCATGGCAATGACACGCATTGCCCTGCCACACAGTGCCGCGCGCATTGAACAGCTGACAACTGAATTAACTGGTCCCTGATTGTGGATAATTAAAAATGATAATGGCTATTGTGACTGGCAACCAGTGCTGTGAGGCACTCTGCTGAGCATAAATCGGTCGGCCGAATTAAAACATGTTCGTTCCCAAGGAGAAAAATGCATTTTCCAACAGAGTTTCTTGCCACCTGGGCTCATACCATTGGCCACATAAAAGGTAGCAGAAGGCTGCAACCAATGAGCCATACTAAGTCTAAACATCCACCCAATCGCAGGAAGTCCAAGAAGGAGTAACCGCCTGGACCCATCACCTCAGCTCAAAAGGCGTGAAAGTCATTGACCTCTGCTGGACACCAGCTTCAGAACTTGCCCTGTTCAGGAATTGCTCTCACACTCACTCCCTCTCCTCCCTTCTCTTGAAGTCTGTGTCATTCGATCACAAAGGATGCAAAAATGGATAACAGAGGAGTAAACATGCACTGGATCGTCATGCTTCCAGCAGTTAGTCCTCATGCTAAGATCCTTGCAATGAGGTTGGTGGCGTAGCCAATTGGCGAGGCAAACGATGTGGATGCCGCAATCATGACCACCATGACCTAGGTTGCAAGCATGGTCCCCAAATAAAATCACTTGATAATAATCCCTTCCGCCCAACATTGAATTTCCAGAATGAAATCAATGAATAGCTACTAGGATCTATTACGCATTATTAGGCTATGAATAGATCCAATTCTAAACCGTGTGTTTCTGGATGTTTCTGGGGAGTGTTGCGTGTTGGAGAGGGAGGACCGTAATCACGCTCCGAGGAGCCAAGGGATGTGGAGATTGCAAGCCCATCTTCTCTGCGAGATCGATGGCCAATGGAACCCCCAGAGCTGCTGCAGCATTGTTGGTGACCAATTCTGTCGTCACCTCAGCAGTTGCTCGTGGAAATTTGTGGGAAGGCCCTGGGAAGGGGGTCAAAATAAGATGCTCACCCACTTCCACATCTCAATTTTTTGACTGCGTGATGCAGTGTGCGCAATTTTGTTTGTGTTCCAATGCTTCCTATGGTCCCGGCATCTGGTCTAGCATGCTTTGAAGGTAGCTTTCAAGATAGTTGCCATACTGAATTTGAGCCCCCTGAGGCAGCGGCCATGACAATCAAATATAGAAGGGACGGAGTGAGCCAGTTTGGAAGGCCACTTGATAGAATTGCTCTGGAAACGCCAGCTGCCAATCCAGATTTCGACATGGCCTGTGCAATGCCCAAAGCTGCTCCAATGAGGATCAGCAGCTGCCAATCAACGATGGTGCGGATCTCTGTGGCTTTGATCCACCCACCCATGATGAACAGAGTTGACAGCGTCACCGAAATCTGGACCATGCTGACGACATCCAGGGACGTGAGCATCAGTGCAGGGACGAAAAGGAGCAAAGGCACCAAATCATAGAATGAAGTGGGCCTGGGCAAGGAACCCAAGCGTGTGACTAAGAGAAAATGAGAAGAAGGATAGCTGGTGTCGGTCTGCGCCATCACCAAGATCACATCGCCCGCTACAAAATTTGCACTTGCTCGACGGTGGAATGGACTTGGACTACTACTAGCTTCCTTGCTATCTTGTTGATCAGTTGCGAAGGCTGTACCCCAGTATCGTGACCGGACAGCGATGAGACCGGCGTTGTAAGCTTCGCTCACCATCTTCGATGCATTGCCTGATGATCAGCCAAGAAACACATAACAAAAGCATGGTTGGCTTCACTGGATTCCCGAACAACATTCCAACGAAATGGGCCAAAACACCAACAGCGACTGCAGAGCTAAACGGTTTCCTAGGCACAGATCGGTTGCCCAAGCAAGGGTGAATTTGCACTCAGCACCAGCTCCACGAACTCAGACTGCTCAGAAAGTACCTGGTTAGCATGCAAGCTGCGCACGCGAATGCCGCGTTCTTGTTTGGAAATAATCTCCACCACGCGGTCCCGCGGCAGGGACAGCAGCAGCAAGTCTCCTGCCTGAGCACGTTCCTTGGCATCAACTAGAAAGTTGCATTTGATACCTAGGATGTCCAAACGGGTGTCCAATAAGCACCCCTTAGCACGGGTGTCCATCATTAGGCACCCCTTAAAAATTAATAAGGGTCCTGAACTAACAGTTCAAAAGGGGTAATGAGGTATTATGTGTATTTTTCTTTGATTTCCCCACGTCTGCTTCCAGAAATGCGTGTCATTTCGTGTCATTGCCGTGTCGTGTCGGTCAAAAGGGGTGACAAGATTTTTTTCAATCAAGAAAAACATGCTTGTCATTGCGTGTCATTGCCCTGTCGTGTCGGTCGGTAGGGGGTGTCCAAAAAGCACCCCTTAGGCAAAGGGGTGTCCAATAAGCACCCCTTAGAAACGTGTCGGGTGCTTTTTGGACAACCCCTGCGCGTGTCATTTCGTGTCGATTTTGACTAGTTTGTTTAAACTGGGGAACATTTTACATCTGACACGAAATGACACACATGCATTTCTTCTCGCCAAAAATGAAGTGAGGTGCACCACAGATGCCACGCGGGTAGGATTGGACGATTTCAGGTTGGAACTAATCATTTTCTAGTGTGCCATCTCCATGAACGCTAAGGGGTGTCCATTAGGCACCCCTTAAGAATCTCAATTTTTGAATTTCATTAGGCACCCCTTTGAACGTGCTGGACTACTTATTAATTTATAATTATTATGTATTCTCTATACTGCTTATATGCTGCTGTGAATCACCAAGTATTTGTGGTCATCATATTGTTACCAGCCTTCTGCTCATGCTTCCTTATGACATGCTGGCATGAGCTTGTGAGCAACAAGCGCAGCCAAGGGTCAGTTTCACGAACCGGTTGGATTTCCATGATGTCAGGGTCCTCCGCGCAACTTGCTTCGATATCAAGGTTCAAGAAACGTAGGTTGAAGGATCGCTCCAGGTCTTCCCTTCTCGGCGAACTTGGCTGCCGCAAGATCCTCAGCACACAAACTTCAAGCTTTCCCGACCTATCCGACCTGAACTCGCATACAAAGTAAGGCAAGGGATGTACAACGATTCCGCAATGATTCCGCAATGATTCCCCTCGACTTGATTGACTTGATTGACTTAATGTCACCTCAGGCTTCGGTCTAAGTGGCTCTCTCTGCTGCGAACCCAGGGTGATGTGCAGAGATTGTCCCTTGGCATCCGGCCTCAGGATCAAACCACAACACATTTCCCATGAGCTTTCCCGAAAAGCAGAACATAGAGAGAGGCCTAGCTGCTTTTGAAAGAGTACAACCACAAAGAATATCAAAATTATCAAATAATGGACTTCACGATGCATTTTCTGGGCTTCGACACCGTACCTACTTTCCTTCTTCAGGGAGCCAACTGCTCACAAAACAACCTGACACTGGCCCTTAATGTCTCGCTCATCATCCCAAAGTTGAGCCAGGTTGCATTGGCCGTCGGATTTTCAAAAGGCAGCTGGTGGGCAAGCCCAGAGCCATCAGCAACTCGTCTGGCCGACGTCCGATCCATGCTGAGTCCTGCAGCAGAACTCAGGAGTTTGTGCCTGGGAATCCTTGGGATCCTAAATTCGTGATGCGTGGGAAATTCCACAGTTCTTCTATTTCTTACTCCACCAGGATGGGGAACTCTGGTTCAACCCCCGCCTGTGTGATGTCCAAAGCAGTGACCAAATTGTCACCGTGCTCACGCACTTCTCGAAACAGACCTCCCTTGTTGTCTGGGAGAACCATGGGACCCAGCGAGATGATCAGAACAAAGCTGATGACTCCCATGGGCAAGCTCAAAATGCCCGGCTCAAAGAAACTGAACGGCTTGTAGCCTGGTGCCGGGCTGGGAACATCTGGGAACTAGTCTGCTTAAGACAATTCAAACCTATTCAAACCTTACGTACGCATATTATGCCAACAGTTCATAAAAATCTGCTAGCAACAGCTGCTTTCGTCTGTCACAGCCTTGTTTTTCAAGCAGTCCATTGACCAATAAGTTTGTACTGGTGCCAATTGTGGTAAGCATTCCACCCATGATGGCTGCATAGCTGAGCGGGATCAAGAAAGTTGATGGAGCACGCTGATTGGTTCTGGCCCAATCTCGCACGATTGGCATGAAGAGCACCACTAGCGGGGTGTTGTTACAAAATCCAGATAGAGCAAAGACAGTGAAACAAACCCGAAACAAAACTGTTCGATCACGAAGGTGTGAGCCCAATATCCGTCTTGCAGCATAGTCCACCACTCGAGACTTGTCCACTGCGTGCATCACGATGAACAGGGCACCGATGGAGACTAGGCCAGAATTGGAAAATCCAGCTAAGGCGTCGTCGGTTGAAACAATACTGAGATTCCACAAGATGGATAGGGTCCCCATGAGCACTTGCTCAGGAGATCCCACTTCTAGAAATAGAAGTACCAAACTTGCCACTATTAGGCCTGCACAGGGTTCTTGAATATTCTTGAACTGCTCCAGCTTTGAGAAGGGTCCGGGAAATCCTATGTCCTATAGGGCAAAAAGTATGTAATCATTGTATATCAATTTACGATATTTTAATATTATTTTAATATATTTTATGCACATGTCACATGCCCCACCATTTTTGATCCGTTTTGCACCCTGGACCTAGCACCACCCACGCTTCCCAAGACATTGCTTCTCCCGTCTCCATTGCGTCAATAGGCAAAGAATGGCAAAGAGGTGCCCTGTTGGTCACCTCGCCCAAGGATCTGTCTACCTGTTGAGCCATGGCATCGGCAGTCCTCACAACTCGGCCCATGGACTCCTTGCTATGTCGCTTTTGGATTGGAAACAGCCAATAGCATCAATAGAATGAAATATGCTGCTGGAGCTCCTTCTGACCAAAGCTTGCCAGTTGAACATTACAAACATCAAGCTTCGGCATTAAGATATTTTAAGAAATTTTTAAGATGCATCAAGCCTAATTATCGATCTTTCTAGGCCAGTGCATGGCTGATTCCCTCCCTGCTTTTGCTGGTGTGACATCTGCCTGGGTCGAAGTACTGGTTCGAAGACTCGCGAAGGTCTGCGGTCGTTTGGCCCTTTCACCTGGTTGAAATCTGCTCGGAGTTCAATGGTACACCCCTCCGTCGGTCGCGTAGTTGAATCTCCATGCAGCAATGGCAAGTATATGCAAGTATGGTATATGTAAAATTATGTAAATAAATATTCTTAGCCTGGCCCACCTGTCGCTCTGGATCGCTTTCCTCACGATGGATCGAGGGTTGATCCTGGCTTCAGGCGCTGCACGTGGCATCCTAAGGGACTTGAGGCTTGCAGCTTTAGCCTTGCCACACGTGTTGGCACAGGTCAATTGGTCCCAGCCTGACGTGTGGAGGAAGATGCAGATGTCCCAGCAACCTAACAGGAGCAATAGAAGTCAGTAACTCAGTAACCTCATAATTCTTAGAACTACAGCTTTCCATACCACTTATATATACTTCTTCGGATTGAACACCCATGCCCCCCACAGCTGACATTGCAAAACCCAAGGCCTCTGTGGTCAGAGCGGTTGAAGCGAGCGAATCATTGACACCTGGCAAGTCATGATTTGCTGGCTTCTCTTCATCTTCATTGTAGCGTAAGTGTACTTGCTCTCGCAATTTTCATGGCCCTTTTTTGCTGCATGCCCAACTATACTCCGGTGACATATGACATATGTGACACAGCTTGGAGCACCAACCGAGTGCCAACAAAGGGTCACAATTCCAGTGGACCAACTCGTATGATTCCGCATCTGAGCTTATGGCTAGGACCGCTCGGACACGTCGGACACGACTCCTTCGTGGGGTCCATTGCATTGAACCATGAACCAGCCCTTTGGCTAAACTGAATACAGTAATTAATTATTAATGACCTGAATATGACTGGATACCTCTGGAAGTGGCTGGCAGGTGGAAATCCTGGATTTCAAGCTGCCGCTGCCCCGTCATCCTTCAAACGCTTCAAAGTGTCCTGCGGGTCGAGCTGCAAGCTTCGTCCAATGGCCTTCGCCTTGGCCCGGGTGCTTGATTTTGGGTGTTTAGTTGTTTTATGTTATTTTAGTTGACGCTTTGTCCTTGGGAAAAGGAACAGTTCAGAGGAATCAAAACGGAGACTGCCCAGCGCTGTTTTATGTGGAAAACTGTCACCAGCTTCAGGACATCTGGCGATCAATCATGTCCTAAATGCTGCACAGTTGCTATGGCCCATCTTGCCAAAGCCTTGGAAGTTTCCATTGACACATCGCTCAAAGCATCGGGGTGAGCCTCAAAAATCGCAGGGTGACAGTTCCAGGGTTTTGTTCAAACATGGCTGACATAATTGTGCCATTCGAATTGAATTACGCCAAACCAACCAAGAAAACCTAAGTAAACTATAGTAAACTGAAAGATGTCAAATCCACAAAATCTTGCCTGGTAAATTTGCTTTCAAAGCAGTGGGCATGTTACTTTGTTGATGACAGCTACAAGTGTCACGGCCTCCATCATGAAGCGGCCAGCGCCCATGGGCTCTCGTGGCATCACATGTTGGGCGTTGGTCTATTGGTGGAACTGAGGGTGTTGTCTTCTTGCTGCTGGTACTGGTATTGTACTGATGAAATAAGAAATTCCTGGCATGAACCTTCAGTGGTACAACTATCTTCCATGATCTTCCATGAGGGAATCTAATACTACAATGGAGTCCTGTAATGGTTTGGTGGAGTTGGATGGAGTTGGCATGCTGAAGCGTCACCCTTCATCTAGCCCAGCTATTGACCTTGTTGTGCAATGGCTTCTGAGGCATCGCACGAACAGGAATGAAGCACCATCAGTGCAGAAGGCTTTGTCAAGCAGCTATGGCAATGGCTAGTATACTGAAGGGCTGAGGCATGTGGGGCCCTGTTTAGCTGTGAATTGCCCCATCTTACCCTTTCCTTTCGGCATCGATGCGAGCTATCACTGTTTGAAGCTCTCGTAGAACTGCACCGCGGTTGCGTTGAGAACTTCCACCGACTCAGGCGATAAAAAGTTCGACCTCATTGACTCGCCCAAAACCAGGCCCCCAAGCTGATCTTGGGACTAAGATTGTCAAGACATGTCAAAACCATTCAAGACCAAATGGCATCATGTGATTTGGTTGAAAGCGGCTTGACTGTATCATCATGTCATCATGTTGTGTCACCATTGCATTTGCCCAAGGCCCTGTCCAAATGTCTGCACAGCGTACGAAGTCCATGCCATTGACATTCTTCCTTTGGAGCGTTGGAAATGTCGTGGCCTTGACGAGGCACATGGGCGAGGGCTGCTTTCTGACCTCAAAGTTCAAGCAGTTCAAGCTAGAAAATGGTTGCCAAACGGTTGCCAAATGGTTGCCAATTCTATCCAATTCTTCCCTTACAAAGATTTGAGCAAATGATGAGCAAATCTCTGAGTCTCCAACCCACCTTCGACTTCGCCAGGGTTTCAGCTTTCCGTTGAAATGCAACAGCATAGCTTCCCTGGAACAAGACCTGAACCAAAGGCTCAATGGTAAATGTCCGGAGAGGCTTCTAGAGACACTCAGAGACTTCCACAGACTTCCCTTGATTTTTCTCTTTTGAAGTCCTGACATGTGAAATTCTGTGCGGGGTGGGCTCCAGCTAAGCCTGCTGCGCAATGTAAGGCGTAGCCTGTTCTCCCATGGCACGTGCACCAACCTGGCATGGTTTGCATCGTGTGACCAGTGGTGCAAACATGTGCCAAATGTCTTCCCATGAGTTCACTGCCGTTCCCATTTTTTTTCTGAAAAATCCACTTGGCCCTATCGCGGTGGTTCTTTTAGAATGCAATGGTGCGATGTCACCAAGGACCATGGTGACCATGGTGACGCCTTCTGCAAAGCTTTGAAGTCCAAGCTCAGGGTGTGCTTCAGCTCTTTCAGCTCCTGGCATTGTGTCTGCCGTGGGGATAGGAGACTCATGTCTTTCATAGACACACACAAACACACACACACACGCACACATACAGATGACGTGAATGATATGTACAAGGTATTATACTTGTATATTTTATTCTTTACAGAATTGTTCACATCCGAAGTCCTTCAACGACAAGGTGTCACGACCAAGGCCCCTGCAGTTCCATTCAGAACCTTGACAAACGGCTGTAAAACTGTAAAATCTGTACAGCGTGTAAAACTAACAAACAAAGAGGTGCACTGACGAAGAGTCTGAGTCTAGGTCTAAGATTCATTGAGATTCTAAGACAGCCTAAGTGCCAGGCCCAACTTGTGATACTTCTTGTGAAGCGCCAGCAGCCATGGTGGTTGAGACATTCCAAATTTGTAAATGTCCTGCAGCACAGATGTTAATGTATGTCAACAGCGCCCAATACTACATAAGTTAAAGAATGCCAAAAAAAACAAAAGAACTGAACTTTGCTTCATAGAGTTTCTTCAAATCAAAATGCGTCAAAAATAGCTCACGGTGTCCTTCTTGGATTCCCGATACTTGCTCATCCAGTGTTCAATGTCTTGAGTGATGTGAAGGTGCTTCCACTGTGTCACATCCATCACGAAAATGCCACGATTGAATACACATTCCTTGGGGCTAAGACCTTAGCCGCGCGTCTTGCTGAATCCCTAGCAGCCCCAGATTTCAGTCATGGGCCATGCTGGTCACTGAGAATCTTTCCAAACTTCCAGATCTTCCAGTTCCAACTGTGCTTCCACATGGCGGAACACTATAGAGAATCAATCTGAATCGCCGATCGCCAATATATGATCAATATTGCAGTCATGACTTTGGAACTTGATCCAACTTGGCCAGAACAAGCAACGGCTGGGCATTCGGACTGCCGGACTTTAAACCGAGCTCTTCCATTTCCTCCGATCATGTCCGATGAAAACAAACAATAAACGCAAACGGTGTCTCAAGACTCAACACATCTCAACACACTGGACAATCGAGCAGCATTGGGCTGAGCGCTTTAAACAAGAACATGATCCTGATCTTGCTTTTTCTGAGAAAATATATCAAGGACTGAGGGCAGGTACAGCAAAGTCGATATAAAGTTCCTTGGCTGCAGCAAGGTGCCTCACAGCTCTTCTCCAAACCAGGGGCAGTAAAAACAAGGATCAATCGATGGCACAGCCAGTCGCTGCTGGTTTCCAAGGGTCGAAGCTTTGAGAGCAATCCTCCACGGCGGCCGCAGGCAAGCCTTTCATATCCGTCTTCCACAGGGCTCCAATATCGTCCAACAGCAGCACATCCGTGTCAAGATATATCAGCCTCAGATTGTGGAAGCCAATCACTTGTGCGAAGTTCATGCAGAGAGTCGATGCTGCATTGAAATTGCCGGTCTAGACATACTAGACATTTCTATAAACATTCGTGCCGTTTTCCATGTTTAGGTGGTGGCTGCCACATGCCCAGTCTTGATTGAGCCTTCAACCTCTGCGGAAGCTCCCCGCTTTGGGAGATGAAATCCTGATGAGGTTCAAGTCTCCCACAGCATCCCACATCTGTTTGCTACGGGTAGCACCCTCTGAAATGCAGCAAAAATGTTGAGTCGTACGATGTCAAAGGTCTGATCTTTCTGATCTTTATGGATCGACGGCAGTCCTCCAAGTAAAATGGAGCAAAGTTAAAGGGACTTGCAAGGCCTTTCCGCGCTCCAGAGCTCTTGCGATAGCTGATTAAGCCTGCTCCCGGGAGAGATTCTGTACCCGAGCCCCACACGTGGACACCCCAGCCAGTGAAACAACTATCCGCCAACATCCGCCGACCATGTTTCAAGTATGGTGCACAAAGAACATGCCAACATGATCCAACCCTCAGATCTCCAAATGATCTACGTTCTATTGCAAAAACAAGGCCATGCAAGTCAGGCAAGAAGCTCTTGATGCGGCTCTGTAGAGTGGTGCTGGAATGCACTTTGAGCTGTGTAGCCAGGGCTGGTAGGACTTTGACCAACACGCTGCTAACGACAGGAGCCAGGTCTTGCGATGTGATCAGATGAAAAGTAACCATATGGGGTCCTCATCGCAAGAATGTTTGGATGAACAAAGCTGCTTCCACAAACATCCACAAACCAACAAAAGACTGCGCACCTTTGAGTTGCAAAAAGTGGAACACGCGATAACACATCCAAACATGTTCTCCGAATGAAGCCAAATGTCGCTTTGCATTCTGCAAGGTGGAGTTGATGGCCGCCGCAAGTGGGCGCCAGTCCGTATCATCGCTGCAGAAGCACACGTGGATTTCTTGGCTGTTCCAAACTCAACAATCATCGAAACGTCTGCAAACGTCTAGAGAACAACATGAAAAAAAAACAACACTCACATTGGAGAACATCAACTTGGAACGGGAGCCTCTTCAAAGCTTTTCCACACCAAAAATGATGCCATGACCATGGCTAAATACCCCTTCTTGATTTTAATGGCTTCACAGGCTGCACCAGCATGCGCCAACTATGGTCAAGCTGCCTTCTGACAAAGTCGGTTTGGCGGCCTTGTCCACCACATCTGCTTTTGGCTTGGAGGCTTTGTCCATATCAGTTTTGGGTTTGGAGCCCTTGTCAGAATTTTCCTTTGGTTTGGAAGTCTGCTGAGTCTTGAGCTTCTGTGGTTTCTGCTTCTGCTTGGTTGAAGGGGCTGCGGGTTCAATGGAGGTCTCATGGACTGTTGACACATCTGGAGGTAGGCTGCTGATCTCTTCCTTTGGATCGTTGCCACCAGTGCCACCAGGCTCTTCAATGAGGCCAGGCTCAATGGGATCAGCTTGGCTGCGGTCTGCTTCAAAGTCTGCTTTCAAGCCAGGAACTTCAGGAACTTCATTGGTTGCCAGCCCATCCTCAGTCTTTTGTTGCAAGCTTTGCGCAGGCGCTTCTGGGGCCTTAGTTTGCATAGACTGTGACTAGAACCTGAATCTTCAACCGCCTTTGCCTCGAACTCCCTACAATTTGAAGTCACCCCCGCAACTTTTTCGCATAGCTCCGCATTCAGCTGAGCTGCCTTTAAAGGTAGCAGAGCAAAGAGCGCCCCTACTGCTCCCAAAGCCAGCACCAACTTCACCAGCAGCATCCGCAAACCTCGCGCAGGCAGTTTGCGGCTCCTCCCGCGACGGCACGGCCGCATCAGTGTGTGGGCGATGTCTGCACATGCGAGTCTCAGCAAACGGCAGGCTCCCGCAGTCATCACTCATCGCGGCAAGAGCTGAAGAGGCGGTAGCAAGCGATTTAGCTAAACATATAAATTTCTTTCATGTATTTTTGGGGCCGGTTTGAAAAGATTGAACAAACTTAAGTAATTTGATAGACGTGTTGACTTCCGCGTTCCAACACGACAAACAAAAAACAGAGTGAGCGCTAGCTTCTTCTTTTTCTTCCTTTCACTGGGGTCCAAGGCAGACCTTGGGGAGTCGGGCCGTGACTACATGCTTCAATGCTTTCTTTGAGGGTGGCAGTGTCTTGAAGCCGAATTGCTGATTTGCCATAATCACATCATTGAGATGTGGCGGCTCATATGCAAGGACATGAAGTGCGAAACTGTCTTGTACATGTAGAAGGTAATGTCACCCCCTTCACAGTGGTTACAGTAAATGACGTGGATGCAGCTTACTTGGTTCCAAGTAGAGAGTGTGGGCAGTTTGCCAATTTCCAGTTTGATATTGGGACCACCTGCAGCAGAACTCTTTCGTGGACGAGGCTGGAATGTCAAGCGCAAGGGCGCTGTTTCTGTTGAAGCAGTGCCGGAGCACAAGACAAATGGCGCTTGTCAGGATAGATTCTCTAGATTTGGGTCTTGGCAAGTAAGAGTCAGGTGACAAACCAACACATAGTGACATAGCGTAATTATTGACATTCGTGCAAACATTGATATTGAAACTACCGGGTGAAACAAGAACACGTGGGTTACTGTACACCTATTGAAACTCAATACTTGCCAGGGTCCTGTTGGTGTCTACCAGGTCGGACCAGGTGAAACAAAGGTGGTGGACTGGAGCACTGAGCCCTTGTCCATAGTCGCCAGCAGGTCCATGCTGCGCTACAAGAACTTAAGATCAAATGTCAAAGGAGTGTGCAAAAACACCTGGGTTCGAGGCACGAAGATCCAAGACGAAAAAAAAACACTGTGATTATGAAAAGGTCATTTTGAAAAGTTGATTTGTTCGTCCATGTTCGTCCCAATGTTGACTGCAGTGTCAACGCCGTCGACCTGAGCTGCCTGAGCTGCCTGAGCTCCTCACTGCGAAGTTGATTTGGAGGGGTTCTCCGTGTTCTCCACCGGCTTTTCGCTCGCATCCTTTTGCACCTGGAGTCTACGCCATGCCGCAATTGCCATAGCTATCCAGCCATCACTATCTATTTGTCCTTGGAGAAGTTCGACTGAGTTCCCCCACCGCCATGACATGGACGGGAGTTGGGCCGTTGGGACCTTATCACATCCAGTGAGCTATGAATATATTGATCCAGGGTCGATCTTGTCATCTCGATGATCTTCGATGTATGATCACAATTTGCAAAAAGTACAGTTTACAGTTACAGTGGATAATGATTACAGTGGACACCCCAAAGCATCCAAAAGTATGTCTGACAGTGTTTCCTGCTCTAAGCCTGGGGCTGACAAGGATCTGTGCATCCTTCAAGGTCTTCGAATCATCAGATCCTTTGCCACCCAACTCTTTGCCTCAAAGCAACAGTTGTGCAAATTCCAAGGCTTTCATCTGTCTACTTAGAAAATTTGGAATAGCATGCATACATGTGGTAAGTTTGAAATTCATTCTATACAGCATATCTTGATATCTTGAGTCATGAGGACTATGCAGAATCTACTATCTCTGGGGCATCTTGAAGCTGCTTCAATCTGTGACGGGGCCGCCTGCGGCGAAGAGGCGTATCCTTGGTGAAAGCATTTGAAAGCAGATGCAAGTGAGAGGGTTTCCCGTTACACGTTTGAGCATGCTTGGAAGAAAGTTCCTCATTGGTCCATAATTTCAAGATATTAAGATGTCTCACGATGTCTCACGATGTTTCACGATGTCTCACGATGTCTCACGATGTTTCACAGTTTCACATCCCGCTTCTCAGATCTCTGGGAGAGGATGTCACTGGCCGTCTGAGCTCCAAGCCTCTCGACTTGTTCTGCTGGGATCAGATTTGGACTCTCAGGCCAATGCCTGCAGACCAGAATTTCATAGAATTTCCCTACAAACCCGATGAGTTGGAAACAATTCCACTATTAGCCGATCAGCCCCGAAGATGTCAAAACCTCATTACCATCCACCTCCGGTACTTCACCCTAAATCTCATCTTTTTCTTGGCAGGATCAGGATCAGAATCAAAATCAGATCAGAATTATCATCATCATCATCATGATGACCATCTCCTTCATGCTTCATGGTGCTACCTCTCTCTCTCTCTCCCTGGCAATTCCTCATCCCCTGCTGTTCCTCTGCAAAATGATCTTCTTCACCTCCTTGACCTGCGGTTCCATCAAATAATTCCACATCCCTTTGCAGAAGCTGGGCTGCACAAGGGTCACGACGAAAATCAATCGTGTAGTGCACAAATTCTTGGTCTTCAATGGGATTCAATGGGCCTAAAAGATACGCTCCTCAACATCACAACCATTGTCTTGGTGCTGGTGTTAAAGACAACTCGGAGCCGTTTCGGGCTTGCAAAAACCTATTTGCTGGTGGGACTTTCCCATCATCCCCCCCCCAAAAAAAAACAAGATATGCAATTGCGTGCAGAAAACTGCGTTCTGAGCACTCCACTGGTGTGTTTGTTGTAATGGACAAATTCGCTGAGTTATGGTCCTTCGCACACACACACACCGTATTATGTCAACATCACGATTGAAAGCGAATGAGTTGCAACCTGATCATTTGTGTCTTGGTTGATTTTGAATCAATCCTTTCAGATGTTACTTCACACCCAGAAAAGTTGCTGTCGTTTGTCCGCTTCGATGCAAGTGCGTGTCGGTTTGTCAACACATAGTTCACCACTTCTGTGGTGCTGAGCTGCTTGCGTTGGCGAAAACCAGCTTCAGCTGGATCTCCTTCCGGGCAAATTCATTGGAAGAAAAACATCGTGTCAGCAATGCCTTTTTCAGTTGCTGCGGCCTCCGGCATCTTCACAGCAGGAAATTTGTCTCTTTTCCTGCCACCGGGTGAAGGGATAAGGTTCCATGACTCCAACCTGCTTCTGCCATCTTCTGCCCTCATACGGTTGGTTACGTGTCTTTCATCATCATCATCATCATCATCATCAGTAGCAGCAGCAGCAGCATCACAATCAGATCACCACCATCACCATCACTATCATCCAAAATCATAGTCAAAATCACCATCAACATCCACCTCCTTGCCTGATGCTCATCTCTGGTTCCTTTTCACTTTCCATAGCTGAAACATGCTGAAGTGCACCCTCGCCGACATGGGCCATGTCCGGTTCCAGATCCTGCGGATCTCCTGCCTCAAGCAAGTTCAGGCCACCGCCCACAGGCTCGCATTCCACGAAGCCTGGGCCCAAAATGTGTCCCTGGCTCCATCCCCATCTGAATGGCCAATTGTCACCTCCAAACATCTCCAAACCACATCCGGAATTGGAGTTCATGGGTGCCAAGCTGCAGAAACGGCGAAAGTATTCAACTATATTCAACTCCCCTCATTACATATCATTATATTATCATCATTGTGAAGGCTATCATCCGAGAATCTTGTGACGAGAGCGTGGGCCGTATCGCCACGGAACCAAACCACGCTGCCCAAAAAACATGACCCAATATGCCCTCTCTCTCTCTCTATACCCGCATGCAAAAGCATATGTATATTTGTATGTGTATGCATGCGTGCGTGCAGCACAGAATCATCATCATACTGTCTCATAACACCATGCTATGTAAATTTGTTAATAATCATTATGTTCATTTTCACTACTATCATATCATCATCATGGTCATCGTCATCGTCATCGTCATCATCATCATCATCATCGTCATCATCGTCATCATCAGCAGCAATTTTCACCACTCTACCCAACATCTTTGCGTTTCAGACCCGCGCCTTTGTGCTAAGTCCAGGTGGCAATGCTTGAGCTAACGCTGCAGTGGAAGAGTTGCAACCATAACTGCGCATGACCACAAAGCAAACAGAGAGATGTTTCGACGAACCCCTGGAAGCATTGCAATATGTCTCTCTTGATTCTCTTGGTAGGTACTGAGACATGCTAAGATTTCATGACAAAGGGTTCCTTGCTGTCTACAAAGCTTTGCAAGGGCCATGGATGCCAGGGGTATGCAGCGATACGTTTTCTTATCCTTCCTTGGTACAAATGGTGACTGAAATCCAACTCACTCAGTTTGAACGTCAAGCCTTTAGGCTGTCACTGAGTGGTGAACTTCCGAGCTCCACTTGTTGTGAGACAATTAGGCACGTGGCGTGGCGAGGCTCAGGCGGCTCAGTGCCATTTCTGGAATCGTAGTGTCAACTCAGAAGTAAGAACCATCGGAGCTCCACTCCTCATCATCTTTGCTGAGCTCCCAGAATTCTCTCATCTCATTCAGCTTTGCAGCCGCCTTTCCCTTGGGCTGATTCCACTGCTTGAGGATTTTGAAATTCCTGAGTTCAACATCCCCACTGATTTGCAAGCACAGATTTCCCGACACTCCCCTGGAAAATCAACAGAGTCAGTATATAACGTTGGTCTTGCTCTGCATCCTTTTTTTATGCCGCCGCGCCACTTATCCACAACTATGATGAAGTCCCCCCATTCAGCTTCCCTTTCGGCACACGCAATGGCATCCTGATGAAGAGGCAGGCCCAACGTGAACAGCTGTCTGAACCCCCAGGCCCCAGGTTCGAATGATTTTAGTGATTCTTGTGGGAACTAATTACTGGAGCTTTTGTTGGTGAAATCTTGCATAATCTTGCCAGTCCTCAAACCAAGACATTTTTCATATCAAGCGGTGCAAGATTTCTAGGTCATCCCGCAGGTCCTCAGGTAACTCGGAAGGTTCGCCGTCCATCATGCCACTGTCATCTCTTTTGATGTACCAGTAGGGCCCAAGGTCGGCGGGATCGACGTCCTGAGCAGTTGGGATGCTGATGCATTATGGCGCAACGGCAATGCTGGAACCACAAGCCAAAGTCGGCCAAAGTCGAAGGATTCCATTTAGGAGTATTTAGGCGGATTTCTGTAGCTCAAGTCATCCAAATTAGCTGAGGACCTCACACTTTCTTCGTCATCGCCATATCTTATTTCGTCCTCGTGGACGTCACCTGGATCACCTGGATCCGAGCCTTCTTCAGAGATATCATCTGGATCTCTCACAGGTACTGGCAACTCATCATTTCCAATTTCCTCGTTTCCGTTTCCGAGGTGAAGCGGTTCTTCCAGCGCCCGTCTCTCTTCCTCGCTAAGTTCCTCATCTGCTTCAACAGGAGCATCCTGCAGGGTTAAATGGACTGACCAAGGGACAGCTCCGACATGTAGATATATGCAGTATATACAATACATAACACACACACACAAACACGCACACACACACACATATATATATATATATACATACACATGCTTGTGCCTTGAATTATCCATTTTAGTTTTGGCTTTCAGGGATGCAGCATTGTCAGAATTGACAATACTGACAATGCTGCATCCCTGAAAGCCAAAACTAAAATGGATAAATTGTATCTGCATCTTATGTGTATACACATATCACTAGTAGTATGAATGTACACGTTGATCATGTTTAAATGTACGTCTACCCACGCACACACACATGCACATATAAGTACCTGATTGGTTTACCACCCAATACCATCCCTCATGTTCTTTCTTCATGCATGGATGGTGGAGCCAGGCAAACCATGGTTTTAATTCTGCTGATGGAATAGCCGCCATAAACATTCGTTCGGTGAAGCCAACAAATTCTTGGTGGCGGGCACTTCCCTCCAATAATTACTATTTCGAAGAACATGATGGATAGAAAGGAATGTTGTAGCTTTGTTTCCAAGGTGACTTGCAGAATCTGGGATGCATTGAAGCTGCATTTAGAAGGTGAACTGCATGCTGTATATTGAAAAGACATCCAGTACCGACAAAAAAATACACAATAGGAAAAACACATCCCTGGAAATGCGAATTATTTATTGGAAAACCCCGTGTTTTATGCATGTTAACATGTTGGCCAAGGTTGAAATTGCGATCGCGCGCCCAGATCTACATTTGTAGTTCCACAGTTTCACATGGTATAGTAGCATGATTTAGTATAAATGAGTATAAATATATATAACTATATATTATATATGATTATATATGTATAGTCATAGTGTATGCACACCCAGCAAAAACGAAGCCTTTCCTCCGGAGCTTCTTCCACGGCGTTGGAAAAACCTGCGGCTTCATCTCCTCCTTCAGGAGCCTCAGCAGTCTCGGGAGCCTCAGCGGCAGCCTTCTCAGCTTCTTCATCCTCTTGGGAGTAAAGCTCCAAGAAGTACTCGGGATAAACAGCACCTCATGATGAACATCTGATCAACATCTGGATATTCTTGTGACAACTGAGTTCGAAAGAGAAATTGCAGAATCAGAATGATTAGTTGGATATGTGTGAGAGCTTGTGAGCAGGGCATGTTCCAGATAAGAAGTTCCAGTTCTATCCAAACTGCGCAGACATCTTTCAGGAAAACGGTCCAAGGATTCAGATTTTCGGCACCTGCCCCGCACCATTTACCAAGTTACTTGACTCCTTAATGAGGACTTGCCTCCGATTATTCGAGTCGACCTGTTCAGCCACCGGCGTGTTGTTAGACCAAAATCTGGCCGAAACATTGGAGTCTACTGGCAAGTCATCTCAACTGAACCATGCAGCTGCCCTGCTCAACCCACTCAACAAGCTACAGCATGCTGCAGCGCTTTCCGGCCTTCAAAATGACGCAATCTTTGTCATCACTCGCTGAGGAATCATCCCCAGGCACACCACACAGGACTCGACAAAGGATGGCATATTTCAACCCGTCCTTCCAGCGGACAAAGAAGGCTACCCTCTGGTAATTTAACATAGCTATTGAAAATGACCATTTATAGTGGATTTTACCATTAAAAATGGTGATTTTCCATAGTTATGTTAGTTTACCAGAGGGTACCTGGACCTCATGGCAGCCCCTTGGCCCTGTGACAAGAGGCAGATCCGAAGAGTCTGAAAAACTCTGACCCTCAACGCCTGGGGTCTGCTATGGTCTCACTCAATGGGCATCAAATCCTAAATCTTCAATAGTCCTAAGCAAGTGACCACACAAGCATACAAAGATGAAAAATCATCACTAAATATCACTAAATGGATGAACACATAAAAATGACAAACACAAATATTAAACAAATGTAACCACAATATAAGCACATTAGTGTAATCATGTGTAATCTTTTTACCTTGCGCAGTCCTTGGACTTCACCTCCTTCAGAGCGGTGTCCAAATTCTCGAAGAAACAGGTCCCTTTACAACTCTTCCCGGTACTGACTTCCTGCCCAAGCTATGAAAGGTTGCGAGCACGTGGGTTCCAGCCTACGAGTGTCCACTACTTTGAGGAACAAAAGAATCGGCACCACTGAACAACTAATGACAGCATATGACGGTGATGATTACGTAATAGCCGTCATTGAAAACATAGGTACAAGATAGACAATGATAGACGTACGTACTATACATGCATTGTGAATGCTGCATTACAAGACATTTTTTTACACGACACATTGTCACGCGAAGGTCACTTGGCGCAGGTCATCATTGCGATTAATTATTTATGGATTGATATTTGGCTTCTTGTGCCACCTCCGCTTCGTCATGTGTTGAACCTCAAATGCCGGTGCTCTGCCCAAAAAAAAATAGAGCTGGAAGGAGCCATGAAGCTGTTCAGGAATATTCAGGACTCATTTGAGGCCAACGCATGCAAGCCAAAGAAATCCTTCGTGCAGTCGTCGATCCAACTCATCCACCTTGGACCATCTGCGCAAATCTGCACATATCTGCACATTGAGCAACCTTGAGCAACCAGGTATAAGATCTATAAGTTTGGAACAGGTTGGGCAGCTACGTGGAAATATGTGGAAATCCTCCGGCTTGATATCAATATGAATTTGAATGCATACTATGCGTGCATCATATCAAACGCACACGCACACTTGCGAAGTCATGAAAGACGGTCTCTTTTCATGAATGCAAAGTCTGATTACCTCATGGTAGATTGAAGGCATCACTCGGCCATACCGAGTTAAAAAGGCCAAGCTTATCCGTTGACATTTGAATGTCAGGTTGTTTAAAAGAGAAACCAATACGACTCAATCAAACGTGATCATGAAATGACTGAATGACGGCATGCAGGTTCTTGGGTTAGCCTGATCCCATAAAGTACTAACAGATACGAATATGACCACCAGCTATGACCCCAACATATTGGGTATGTCATCCAGGTGCATCATGCAGGTACGTTTTCACAACCTAAGGTGAGTGTCTTCATTGGCACAAGACTCACCAAAGGTCCTTGTGCCCCCTGCTATGAATTAAAATGCAACGGTATCCAAAATTTATGGTGGAAAGCAGTTGAAAACTAGTTGGTTGGAATCAGTCGCAAGAAAGTGAGGAACTCTTTGGTACAGAGCTTGACACACACAAAAAGGCACGAAGCCGGGTTGGTATTTCTTTAAAGGCGAGAATGGAAGACATCATCAATAGATTGGTGAGAAACCGCAGAGGAAAATTTTGCAACCTCATCAGCGTGTTAGTAAATATTTTGCCGCAGCCAAAAGGTTAGGTATGCTTGAACTGCCTTCTGTACAGGACGCGTTGGCAGTCTGTTTTGGAGAACCCTTTCTGTACGTACAGCTGAATGAGTTGGTTGAGATCATCACGGACAAATTGTTTGGGAAACGTGTATCTGCGAATTAAGGTTGCACGGGACTTTAGTCCGGACAAGCGGAGACGCATGCTGCCAGCAGAATGGAGATCACGAATTTTCCATAGTGGAGGTACTTGGTACCTTACGGTTCGTTGCACGACATCGATGGTGAACCCAAGGAGTGTACCATCTTCGACGGTTTCCAACTCCACCGGCGCTTGATAAAAGAAACAATCGGAAAGCACTCGCATGGGCAATGCGGAGCGAAATCGATGGTCAAACAAAATGAATCTGTTGTCCACATATCGTGTGAACAGAAGCTGGAGTTGGCTGGATTGAACAAAAGTTAAATACGCATTTCTCCAGCTGCGCTCTATGAGCGTCACAGCCAAATTACTGAGAGAGGGAGAGATGTGTGATCCAATCCCTGCTCCACGATGCTGTACCCAAATTTGGTTGACAGCTTTAAACACGTGGGTACTTAAAGAAGCCTGGACAATTGTCAAAATATCTTGAACTCGAACGGTCTTGATATTCGATGATGTCTTCTTGCACTGTCCCACAAATGAAGTGTGGACAACTGGCCCTTTCAGAGCCATGTTGACCGAAACTTGTGTTTCACCATGTTGATTGACCCATTCCGTGGTCAATTGTTGAATCGCATCAAGTAAACGTGATTGAGGGACGCTGTTGAAAAATCCAACAAGATCATCGTTGATGGCAGCAAATTGAATATCGTCATCTGTACGAAAAAAACCGTTGATGGATATGTTTCCAAATTTCAGGAACTGAAAGTTGACCGGCTTCTTGCGGCCAAAGCATCACACACATCGTATCAAGAGTTCTGGCGGTGGCCTGCATGAGTTTACCATAGCGTGAACCAAAATACGAAATCAATGTACGTCCTTTGTTGAACATCTTCTTTCGTTTCAGATGTACAAAGCCGTGAGGCAGTGTCGAGGATGTGTTAATCCCCCATCTGTATCGGTTCTGCAAGGACGGTGTCAAAGCAGTAGCAATGAGCTTTTGAGCATCTTCTTCATTTCCAGGAAAACGGGAAAACAATTCAGGATCATCCCATGTTCTGCAAGCAGACTCAAAGTAGAAGGAAGGACAAAACAGGGTGATGCGATGAATTTCATGATCAGCATGATGAATCACCACATTGGGTGGTAACCATTGAAGGAGGTGCTTGATGTTGTGGAAGGAAAATCTGGGATTAGTCTGCAACTCCTTGGTGTGAGCGGTCCATTGTCGAAGAAGTTCGGCTTGAAGATCACGATGAGAAAACGGAGGGCAACCATGATATTTAGTCCAGTACTGCAATTGTTCATGCCACATGTTCTGAAATTGTGCGAAGCTGGGAAAAAACGTAGAGGAGGCGTTGGCAGTCTCAAAGATGCGCAACTTGGAGGGCAAGTTCAACTCATGGATACCAACTGCAACATGTTGATGGACACCAAAACAATGAATTGAAGGATCAAAATGTTTGATTTCAGAGTGTGCCAAAAATGGCATAGTCGCTGGACGATTCAGTTTTGGTATCGTCATATTTCTGAACTTCATGGCTGATGCAAGAAGTTTCCTGGCTCGACCGCGCGCTGGCTGTTCTAAATGATTGCAAAGTCGGTACAACACATATATTTCCCAATCATCAAATTTCCCAGACCTGAGGGTTGTCGCTGTGTCAAAGGAGAGGCGGCCAGGACTTGTGAGCTCAAAAAGAATGTTCCAAGCTTGAGCTTGTTTGCAGTGAATGGAGGGAGGAACACCTTTGGTGATGAGTCTTCTGCGTAGTCTTTGAAACAATCTGTTTCCCTGTGGAATAGATGGAAAAGTCTGAGAATGTTTCTTGTACTGAACCAACCATCCTGATGCTTTCAGCGTCAAGATTTTGGTGATAAATGGATGGTTCAACGGTGGTTGCCATCTTGAAATCAGTAAATGTTCAAAAATCCAGGCTTCTTGATATGTAGAAAAAGAGGCAATTGGAATTGCAGTAAAATTGGAAAAATCCGAACGTCGAGACCAGTACTTAACAGCAAGTTCAACGTGAACAGGAGTACCATCTTTGGCCAGTCTGTACTTGGCCATTCTATTGAATTCCCGCTTGGCCATTCCAATGGATGTGGAGCCGATATAAAATCTGCCAGCTTGTTTGTACGAAAGTGAAGTGGAGTTGGGAAGGTTAAACTGCATTTTAAGATAGGTGACAGCTGTACATTGAAAGAATACAAAAGTGTAACTCTCTGGATTAATACCAAGGTTCTGCAGTCTTCGCTGCCAAACCGCGGTATGATACGTGCGTGATCCAAAATGGAAAAGACAAATGAGATGAAGCAAACCAAGGGCCCAAATTGCACAAGACTTGTTGACAGCAGGGACAGAGTGCACGATCTCAATAAATACGGATCTCAAAACTGTGATGTAATCCAGAACGGCTTTCGGCCGATGTTTGGAAACATCCATAGCTAGTCAAGCTGTAAGAGCTGCTCCAACAGCAACTGCCTGTTGGAGACTTGTGATGCTGAGCTTGAGGACAGCACTTAAATTAAGGCCATATTGAGTGCTGGCCTGTTGCAACTGTTCCTTGGTGCATTTAGCAGCCTTTATGATATCCATGATTTTCTTGGACATCTGCTGGGTTTCCAGGTTGAAATTCTGGGTCCACTTCTTTACATTGGCTGCAGTGGTTCCGGAAAGCTGATTCTCTCTGAGATTTGGGGCCTTTGGCTCCAAAATCTCCTGAATTGTGATTTCTGTCGGAGAGTGCGTGGCAGAGGTCTCATCTTTTGGTGACGCAGCTGCCTTGCGGAACATAGGTGCCAGCTTTCTTTGCTTTGGCAACGATTTCGGAGAAGCCCCTAATGCCTCGCTAGGTCTCTTCCTGTGAGAAGTAGAAACAACAGCAGGAGAAACAGGAACAACAGAACCAGCAGAACCAGGACCATCAAGATCATCAGTTGGCAATTTGGGATCAGGGGCAAAAGTGCCGGTGGTACGCCGTGATCTCTGGGGTGTATCCGGAATGCCTGCTTGTGCAAGCTTGGACTTGGCAGCTTGAAGCTTCGCTTCGGTCTCCTGGAGCCTTCGCATGGCTTCGGTATCCTGTTTTACAGGACACTGAGCCTTGAGTTTATCGGCTATGAACTGAACTAAAGGTGCCATAAACTCAATCGGTTTGTCCGTGCGATTGGGAATGCCCTGCTGGGGGGCCAACTGGCGATGGAGGCTTTCAGCCGTAGCATCGATATCAATTCCTTGATCACGGAATGTCTTCAAAATTTGGGAACCAAACACAGATTCAGCAACAGATTTCGCACAAATAATTCCAACAAATCTACCCTCACTGAGCGCTCGCAGCGCTGCTTCATCAGGTCCATGTCGAGTAAGATGACTGAGCGGGACGGAAAGTGGATCTTGGCCAGCAAGATTCCTCTTGCGGCTCCATGCAGTCGGTTGAATTGATCTGTACAAACGGTAACCATATTGAACTTGATCATCCCAACATTGACTCGTGCTGCGCCAATTTGATGGTAAACTCACGGGCGGACTCGAAGACGGAGGCGGAGGTGGAGGAGACTGCTGCTGCTGCCATTGATTGTCCCAAGAGTTCCATTGGGACCTGTTCCAATACGACATGGCTGACAACGGAGAAGTTAACACGTCAACAGGAAGCCTAAGAACCCAAAACTGCAGCTATAACTGAAATGACAAAAATTGAAAAATCTGCAATTGGATGCGGCACGTTGATTCAACGCAGCATTCTGATGTATCGTCTTGTTGGACAAAATGGATCACAATTCCGATTGAGTTAAAATATGTACGTCTAAATCACAAATCGGAATGCATGGGTTGTCCATGCGGTTTTTTGGACATCTCAGCAAATGTCGATCGCACATGCAACGAAAATGAATTAAGCATACCGGTAACAAGTCTGATGGAGAAACGGGCAGTTCATATTGAAGCAAAATTCCAATCAGACAAAAAAGAAAATGGTAAAAACAGCAAGGTTCAAAACGGAGTAGGGAATTAGTCTAGTGGGCTTTCAGCTGCCACTCTGAATGCAAAACCTAAGAGTTTGTGGGAGTTTTCATTAGTGACCCACATACGTCCTCTTTGATGGTGGACGCATCCGCCATTCATGGTTTTCTGTACGCATTCCCATTCTCCCCCTTGCTTTACGGCCTCAGCCGTTCCCCATCCTACCGCTACTGCCAGAATGTTACTTGTATTCTTTGCAGCGTACCATGCTGCATGTGTGATTCTGGCCATTTCTTTGTCATCCCAAGCTCTGTCGTTGGTTCTTTTTGATCCAAGACTGAAAAATGAGCAAGATTGGTTGTTGTGTAAACGGCTAGGTCCGATCTTTTGATCAGAAAAAATGCCTTTGATGCCTCCAATACTGCTAGCATGAACCAAATTCACATGTTGTACTTCCTGGAGGTTCATCGCAGGTGCAGCTCGTACTGGGTCTGGTATTTCTCTTTGAGAGAAATGTCCTTTGATAAGGTAAAAATGACTCTTGCCCAAATCAGTAGGATGATGTTCATGATCTTGAGGGTCATAAACAAGCAACTTCATTGTGGACAAATGATCAGGAGTATACCTGGTGGAGTCCAGAATTTGTGCAACGAATTTCACCATACTGTCCATCATCGGGTAGTCATCATCTTGATGATTTTTTAACCAAGATCGAATATTTGCCTGGTTCGGAGTGACTGGCTGACTGGTTGGTGTCATTTCGTGACGTCCTGAGCGATCTAATAGAGGGAAGGCTGAAAACGGTCTCAAGGGAGGAGGAGCAGGAACTCTGGGAGGAGGAACATGCGCTCTGGGAGGAATGTTTCCAACATACGGGTCCCAAAGACCAGTATGAATGTCCCATTGACCTGGTGGAGGACGGAGAGCTTGAGAGAAAGAAGAACGAGCCGTTCTAACTGACCTACCTCTTTCAGATCTCGAAGTGGACCTCGGAGAATGGTGATCACGATGATGGTGACGGTGATGGGATGCTCGATGACGACGTCTTGTTCTGGATCTGGAGCAACTTGATGTTGTGCGTCTTTCCTGTTTGTCATCATCTGTTCCAACCGGCACCGCAGGTTGGACTGCTGACGGTCGACGAGGTACGGAGATCGTTCCTGGAATTGCGGCTGGGGCTGCTACCGGAGTTGCTGGAGGAGCATGTGGTGTCAATGCCAGTCTTACTGCTGGCTTCGCCGGTGCTTTGGGTGGCCGAGGTGGAGTCGGGTCCACGTTGCCGGCCACAAAGTAAACATTATACACCGGAGTCGACATGGCTCAGAAATCTAGAGAAAGGAAAATGGAAAATGTGTTGTCTAATATGACAACTTGTTAACTGTACAAGGATTGATCAGTTAGACAACTAACAAGTGATAACGTATTGTTGCTTGCTCAACTGTACACCAAAAGGCATTCATGTGTACAAACACAATTCATCCATTTGGAATTCAATGCTGAGGCTTCAAGTGTGGAATTCAGAAAATTCATCTTATTGGTGACTATCAGTCGCCAAAATTGTCAAAAGTCAAATTCAAGTTCAAACTCAGTGGATTCAAGCTATTTTTGCCGGATAGCATACCGGGATCTATTCTCTCAAATGCACGCTTTGTGTCAGAGACACACGTTCAATCATTGCAATGAGCCACCGTGGCTGAATTCAAGAGTCAAATTCACTTGTGGATTCTCGCACCCCCAGGGGAGATACGACGCCTGGAATTCCAGGATCACGACCGGACTTTGACAGATCCCACGGCCGAAATACACACTTGCGAAGTCATGAAAGACGGTCTCTTTTCATGAATGCAAAGTCTGATTACCTCATGGTAGATTGAAGGCATCACTCGGCCATACCGAGTTAAAAAGGCCAAGCTTATCCGTTGACATTTGAATGTCAGGTTGTTTAAAAGAGAAACCAATACGACTCAATCAAACGTGATCATGAAATGACTGAATGACGGCATGCAGGTTCTTGGGTTAGCCTGATCCCATAAAGTACTAACAGATACGAATATGACCACCAGCTATGACCCCAACATATTGGGTATGTCATCCAGGTGCATCATGCAGGTACGTTTTCACAACCTAAGGTGAGTGTCTTCATTGGCACAAGACTCACCAAAGGTCCTTGTGCCCCCTGCTATGAATTAAAATGCAACGGTATCCAAAATTTATGGTGGAAAGCAGTTGAAAACTAGTTGGTTGGAATCAGTCGCAAGAAAGTGAGGAACTCTTTGGTACAGAGCTTGACACACACACACACTACATACACACACATGTGTAATGTGTATATATATATATATATGTATATATAAAAATCCGCCTGTGTGCATCTCTGTGTAGATGAGGCATAGTATATCATAGCATGATGGCATGACATATAATTAGTGACATATAACAATATATAACAATATAATTATAACATATATATACACATAATATAGTATGTAACATACTATATATGTTATGCATAAATTTAAATAATCATAAATCGTTGTTTGCCACGTCTCTGGTCGACTAAGTCGAGGCCAAGGAGCTGGGAGACGCCGCGAGGCTGCCAGGCCCATGTCATCCATAGCGGCTGCAAACTCGTTATGGGAAAACCTGTCAGACTAGGTGGGGTACTATAATGGGGTACTGCTAGGATGCTGGTAGTGATGGGATATCATGTGGATATCATGTGTATGTATTGTGGTATGATGGGATACATCTATTGAAATTAGAAATGAATTGGGATAGGATCGCCTACAGTTGTAATGCTGATATTAGATGATATTGGAATCAACTCCCCTTTTGAACTGGGTCCAGCTCTGGAAGCTTGAATCCTGATGGGATGTTGTCGGCACCCCTGACAGGTTAAAATGTGCTGCTGGAAAGCACGAGTATCTAGTGGTTCGACATGACGCGAGTGGGGAACAAGTGTGCCCAAATGTGTTCCATTGTGCTTCTGTAGGCAAGCCACTTGCACTTGTCCCCTCGCTTGCAGCCGGACTTCAAGAACTTGCATGGCCGTTTCATAAGGGCTCTCAAGTCTTTCCTTGGCAGTCATGTTGTGCGCAATGGCAATGCTCAAGAAGAGCAATCAAACTTTGGCTGCCTCTTAGAAGCAAGCCATTAATCAATTTTTCTAGGACAAATCGACTGCATTGGAATGCTCTATGGTGCTTTCATTCCTAAGTTGCAGGGATCCAGATGGTCCTGTGGCTTCTAACACTCCCAGTCTTGCTCAGCTGACATGGAGATGAGGTCAAGGCGCTCCACAGCATTCACCTTCAGCTTGTTGTCCATCTCGGAAGTCACAGCTGAGATGCCTTCCTCGCCACCCAAGCGCTCACGCAGGTCTCTCTTGAACTCCACCTGACCAAAGAGCTTTCAGAGTGCGATGAATATGCACCCTCTATACATCTCTCGAATGCTCCCAATGTGACCAGTGAGCATCTATGACATTGTCCAAAAGGCTAAAATCATTACTGACGCTTTCGTCAAAGAGGTCTGATCTCTGCTGCTGAGTGGCGAATTGTTCCCACAAGCTGGAATCCTCCAGCCGAAGGACTCTCTGAAGTTTCCGGCTGGGAGCAACACGTGCTTGGTTCACTAACTCGGCCGATGCTCAGGAGTGCTCATGTGCGCCAGGGCTGGTGCACTGCATTGACTGTTAACATTCATCAACACACACAGAGACATATAATATATAATATATAACACAGGTATATAATATGTATTTATAATTACTGTAATTGGATATTATTAGATACCTTAGACATGCACCGTAAGTATTAAACAAAAGTGGAGCGCAGCATGAGCTAAGTCGAGCACGCATTGCATGTGCTGATAGCCAGAGTCTGTCAGAGGTCCAAACCAGGTGCGAATCAAGAAGCCAAGTGATAATGTATATATATATAATATTATATAATTATATATGGATATATATGTATGTGTATAAAATCATATTAATTATATATAATATTAGAATCTTAATCTGCTCTGGTTGCGGTCACAACAAGAATCTCAATCATTCTGTGACGACTCAAGCAGTCTTCTTGCCCGCGGCCTGCGAGTTCATGGTGATCCCGAAAGTGCTTCTTGGTCAAGTCGGTTGCGACATTCCTCTGGGCCATGCTCAGAATCCAAGGAGACGTAGCAATGCAAAGGATAATCATAATAGTCATAGTAGATAGTCATAGTATGTCATAGTCATAGTTTACAAGAAAATGTCAATGTTGTTCGGTATAGAGAATGTATGATCTCGGACCTGCAAACCTGGATAAAAAAAACTGTTCGAAAGAGCTTTGATCACAGCACATATCCACCTCAATGGTGGTGAAGGGTCTCACCAGCCCGGGGCAGGCTTTGTCTTTATCCTTTGATGATCTTTGATGTTTCAGTCCTCCAGTGCAGGGGCACCTGCATAAAAAACTTCCGCTTCAAGACATTGCTAATCTCATCTTCAACATCCTGGCAGCTTTGGATAGCCGTTGTGATGTTCATATCACTGGATATCACTGGTACAGTGTAAAAAATGCCCCACATTTGCAAAGCGAGGCAAGGCAAACCTTTGCATGGACCCGCTGATACAGCACCAGGTACTCTGGGTAGCATTGGTCGGAATAGTAGATCACTAGCTCCCGAAACAAACCTGGGCAAAGGACGACCCCAATTAAACAGTGACCCACTGGGAAAAGTTTGGACTGGACGACATGGCAATGGGAAAACACTTCCCGCAGCACCATTGAGGTGAACCTGATGCAATAATAATAATAATTATTATTCTTAGTAGTAGTAAAATATGCAGTATATTAAATTGATATATGTTTCAATAATTTGCAATACATATTCCATTCCATCACAATTAGTTACAGCATCTTGTACCTGAAGTAATGTCACAACAACACATCTCGTCATTATTAGTGACATATTGTGACATTCAAAGATATTCCATTCGCGCAGACAAGACACGCTTTCCACAAGTGCTGTCATATTCCATTCGCTTGACTTTCTCCCCAGCTTCTGTGTCACTGGATGTGACATTCATCTTTCCCATGGTGACTCGGCACACCAAGACTGCGAAGACACCCTCCTCAAGGCAGGGAAATTGAAACTGTGCTTTTAATGACTGCAACAAACCAACACGAACTCAAAGATGTTCAAAGAATTTCATTCATTTCACACGATTCGCACGTCTTTAAATGTCTTTAATAGATTTGGAATGGACTGGGCCTAATTAATTCAGGGAATTAGCGTCTCCGGCCAAGTCACATAGAAGCCGCCTGGCTCATCTTTGGCATACTCATCCGCCTGCAGCCGGCCACCCGCAATGCTGATGCTATGAGACAAAGATAGACAAAGCAAGTCCACATAGTCGACAGCTCCCATAGGAGTTCTGGATCACTATGGATCACTAGTGCAACAAGATCGCTGGAGGCTTAACAAAGCAACTTTTTGACCCTGAGAACTCAGGTGTCACGATGAGGCAGAGTGCCTTGGTGATCGACTCTCCAAGATAAGCACCTCTGCCATAAAGGGTGCCTGTGCTGGAGCCGGCCAAGTCGATGTTGAAGTCCTCCAAACAGGAAGTAATATGAGATGGCATGAAATATCTGAAATGACAAGGTCACTCTTCGTTCTGCAACTTAAGTACATGATCACCGACAGTAGTAATGATGATTCTCTTTAAGAAGAAGAATAAAAGTAATTACCAGTAAAATTAGAAAATCATGGTGGCTTTTGCCGGCAAGCTTCATTCTCAGCAATAGAGAGGGCATACCGAACAAACGTGCCATGAAAAGCATAAAGCTCGTTCACGGTTGGATCCAAAGGAGCGAACATGCCTCGGCCCAACAGCAAGGCACAGGATGTTGGAAGATGGTGGTAGTTGGTCGCTAATGGTCCTTACCCTGATGGAAACTGGACCACAATCAATGAGAAATTCACTCTCGTCGCTCTGCATTTTACTGATCAGTAACATGGTAGAATCTGCTCCTCTATCACTACTTACTCTTCCTTTTTTGGCGAGGCAGACAAACTAGAATGCACGACAATTTTGTCACAATTATTCTATTAAAAAAATATCCGATTTGACTTCCCTTTCAAGACCTCCACACCAATGGCCTGAATGGCTGTCCACCACACTCTGCGTCTTAGGTGGCGGATCCATCGGCTCCACTCCTTCGGCCCGTCTGTTGCGAATCACATTTCGCTTTTTCACATAACCTCAGTTAGTTCTCAGTGAGTTCTCAGTCATGTCAGTCATGTCACAGCGTAAGGGCGAGCGATTCAAACCTCTGCAGCATTGTCAGCATTCATGTGTACTTAGATGCTTTCCCTGTGACGTATTTGTGGCCGTTCTAAATGATTTATGCACATTTAATATTGTTTAATTATAAATTATATGTGTATATTATATTTATATTATGTATGTATATATGATACACACACATTCATATATAATAATAAAAAAACAAATAATAATAGGAATAGAATAATAATAAGAAGAAGAATAATATTAATAAGAATAATAATAAGAAGAAGAATAATAATAAGAATAATAAGAATAAGAATAATAAGAATAATAAAAGTAATAATAACAGTAGTGATAATAATAATAAATAATAATAATAAATAAGAATAATAATAATAGTAATAATAGTAATAATAATAGTAGTAATAATAATGATGATACTAAATAAATAGTAATAATAATAAATAATAAATAACAATAATATTATATATATAATATTTGTGATATGCTAAAGTCTGCTAAAGTGAGGAGATTGGCTGGGGCTGGAAGGTGGGCACCAACTTGACAATTGCAGCCAGGACTCTTCGCCACATCTCAGATGCCTTGATGTGCCACTGTGGACTTGATGTGAACGGAATGGAAAGGAAGCAACACACGTTTGATCAAGTTTGATCACAACTTTACAACAATTCAGAATACCCAAAAATCAGAATTCCAATGAATTCCCCTAAACTGATGCTGGTGTCCTTCACCATCAAGTTCTGGGAGGAGCCCATTTCAAGACTGCGCGGAACGCGCAGTCCGCGCAGCGCGCCTCGACTCTGATGACCCGGCGCGTTCGGAAAGCCACAGGCAGTCCAGGATCTCCCCCGGGCCTAACATTTCAGCCGCCAGAATAGACATAAGACATCATAAGACAAAAAAGTGCCAAATTAATCCAAATTAGTGGAATTAGTTGGATAAGACATGTTGGATGTTTCGTGATCGAATTCCTGGTCGCGTCCACCTTTTGACTCTTCAAGACGATTGAGAAGTATAGTCTGCATTTGCCATGGCTGCAGAAGGGTTGTGGCCAGAGTCCAACACGATCCAACACGTCATGAATTGTACTGTTTCACTTTTGTCTAAGCTTTGACCACCGCAGTCCAAGGAGCTTGACACATTCGCACCCCCCAGGTGTTGAGCCATGCTCTCCCGTGGGGCATTTCCGGTCCCGCGTTGCGCTTGCCACCTGAGCGCGTAGATATGCGTAGATGAAGGCAGCATGGCCAGCGATAGCAAATGCTTGGTGAATCAGTGAATCTGAAAATGTGAAGATTATGTGAAGATTACGTGAAGATTATGTGAAGATTATGTGAAGATTGTGAAGCGCATTGAAAACGCATTGAAAGTGCATTGAAAGTGCATTGAAAGTGCATTGAAAGGCAATTCGAAACGCCATGCCGCAAACAGTCTGGAAAGACTCGAGCCATCACCTTCTCAGAGATCCGCCAGCCCAAACGCATCTTACGCGTCTTGCTTCAAGGCACGTATGATTCCTTGAACAGCTCGTCGAAAGTACTGTGAATGTCTTTGTCTTGTGTGTAGTACCTTGCTTCATCTTGGTTTCCACGAGCTGGGGATGCCTGTTTAACTCTCCATGGAAGTTGCTCAAAGACTCTTCCACAAACTGCCATAATTACACCTGTTGTCTGAGGGCAATGCCCTGATGTGCCATATAATCAACCAGTAGGACAATCTCAACCTGGTAATTTTCAACATCATCAATTGAAGTGGGGAAGGGCCACCCTGAACCATTGCACTTTGCTCAGGTGCATTTCATCAAAGCTCACGTTCGAAGGCATCTTGTTGTGGTACCTGAGCATGCCAACTGGACGCGAGACTTACACAAAGTTCACTGGAGAAAAAGGAGCTACACCATTTCTGCATTTGAAGCTTGTCGGGGCGTTCTGTCCGTTTCTGTCAAGGCTTGCACAAACAAAGGCAGCAACACACAGGAATACAGAATACGCAGCAATACGCAGCAATACGTAGCAATATGCAGCAATGCAAGTCCAAGTGCCAATACTCTGGCAAGCCATCACTCGTGGGATTCGCGGTGCTCTTGATGCTCTCTTTCGGTACCGATGGCTTTGGATCCGATGTCTTCCTCGACGGATCTGGACCCGACGACGAGCGAACCACGCCGCCACTGCCACCGCCACTGGCGGTGCCAACCGCTACAGCCCTTCCGCCAGCGGAAGCCTCACAGTGGGTCATGCAAAAGGCATAAGGGAGGAAGTACTGTGATTTTTTGGCCATAAAATCACATGTATTTGTATACCCATATCATGTGAGATAAGTAATAAAATATAATCCCAAATTAATCTATGATAATCACACTCGATCACACTCCCACATACAATTCCATCTCAGCCGGGGCACAGTTGATGTTGTACTTACCTTTGGCTCAGGTTTGGTACTGCCGCCCGCGCCCATGGCTCTTCTTTGTCATGCTGGACAATCTTGAGCCCGTCGTGCTGAGGAGACCGTGTCTTCTCCAGGTAGATGGCAAGGTGCAATGATGTGCAATGCCTGTATGAAAGGACACACCTATAGCAACATAAAAAATGAGCCCCAAAAGCATCGAAACCTTTACAGTAGAAACTGATAGAAACTGTAAGAAAAAATAGCTGGACAGCTGAGCGTAGCCACCACAATGCAGCGACCATCTATATGAGCCTAGTTTTCACGAGTCAGGGAGGCAGGTGTGGTTGTGACAATGATCTTTTGTAGATCAAGCCATGGGCTTCACCCGCTCACGGCTGCTCACGGTCGAGGGCTGTAGAAAGTCCGTTCATGTCATGTGTCTTCACTGCCTCAAACCAAAGAAAGACCAGAAAAACAAGCAAGCAATTGGGGTTTCATGATCTCACGAGTCACTAGGAAACTTCAGGTTGGCCGTTGAGAGCATCATGAATCCATGCACCCATGCGTTTCCCAGTCCAGCGTTGAGATTAAAGGCAAGAGTTCAGAGGTTCAGCTTGAGCGTTTGTACAGCATCATTTTGTATCAAAGTGCTGGGGTTTCAGGATGTTCCAAGAGCAAATCCAACCTCATCATCGCTTGCCGATGGCGCCCAGCTTTGCTGATCCTCTGTCCTAGACACGCATCACACAAGGCGATGCTGCATCAAGGAAACAAGAAAATTAAGGTAGATCGTTCGTTCACCGATGTGCCAACTTTTGCCGTCCGAACTCAAGCCAGTAACTACTAATCGCTAATCACCAACCATCCAAAATCAAAATATGTTTGGCACCAACAAGTGCAATTAGGCAAGTGTTGCTGCCTGTTTTCTCCAGCTGCTTCGGCTGCTGCCTGCAGCAGCGCAACCCACGACAACCCAAATCTTTGAAACCATTTGAAACCACAATCTCCATCAATCTCCCCCTATTCAATCGCGGCGACGTGACTCTCGTACCACTGCACCGCCAGCTTGCATCAACAAATCTGATGAACAACCAAATCAAATGGTGAGAGTCTCTTGTACTAAATGACTCAGATCTGGCTGCACCATGCTGCACCTAGCTACCAATCTACTTTTTGCAATCTGTACTCAATCATACTCAATTTTTGCATAACCCTGAACTTTTTGGTCCCGCACGTCCAGCACAGAGAAGAGCTCCCCCAAACGAATGTGGCTGGCAGTGCTCTCCTGTTGAGGCCTTTGCTTCGGACCACATCGTCCCAGTCTCCCAGTCCGAGTCATGTCCCATCACTGGTGGGGTTCCCATGAGCTCCCCACCCGTCGTAAGAGAAGCGAAGGTTTCCTGAGAGCTGCACAGACATCCCAAGGGGATCCACTGGAGAGGTGCTGATGACTTTTTCCATCGGCTGTCTGGAGCGTTTGGAGCCTTCACAAAGGGCCGGGCCGTTGGTCTCGAAGTGCGAGCTGGTCAGTCGCAATCTTGGCGGCGCAAGCATATGGAAGGATGCAAATGTCAGGGAGCCTTGATGCAAACTCAGCCCGTATTGGCAAGACATTCGGTTCGTTGGGTACGAGAATCAAGACCATGGTAGAAATTGTTGCAGTGAGAACTACGTTGGGGAGGTTGGGACGGCTGCGTCTGCGTTGCTTTCCAAGTTGTGGGCTCATCTGGGATGCGCCGGTGTCCGACCTAAATGTTTTGCAATCGGCATTGAGCTGATATGATATGAGCTGATAATGCATGGATATGTATGGATCAATCAGATTATATATTGGAACACCTTGTGGAACCACACAAGCAGGATAAGAGAAGAGCCGTACCATCCTGCAAGAACTTCAAGTAATTCTTCTTCGTGATGATGCCCTGCAGCACATCCTCATAATCAGGTCATCAAAGAACTGCAGATCGCCAAAAGTCCAAAATATCAAAATGCTGCAAAATGGTGCAGTGCCACAGTCTTCTCTAGTAGTCCCTAGTCATTTCGGAACATCTCAGCATATCTCAACACATCTCAACACCTCCTGGGACTCCGTGCCTGCTGCCCAGTGCCCGGAAACGAGCCCACCACGAAGATGCGCTGACATCCCAGCCTTGGTTGCACCATGCAGATCCGCCTCAGGCGACCCTCATGACGACATGGATGACATGGCGATCGCTGCACCTCTGGGCACCCCTGGTCCGCCATTGATTGGGGAACACATTTGCCGATCATTTGCGACACAAAGCATTCTCATGCTCTGTAAATTGCGTGTAAATTTCGTGCATGGAGGTACCCTAGAGATCCCTAGAGATAAGGCACTACTCTTATCATCTGCCTGACCTGATAATGCCGATGGTTCTACCTTTATCTACCTTTCAAGGTTTTGTTGTGGTGGGGGTTATTAGGGGTTTAGGCCTCACCCCTCTGGGCTCTCTGGCTGCTTGAAGACCTGGTGTGCCTGCGTCAACGGAGCATGGGGTACCATGCGGATCACCTCGACGCCACAAGATTTCAGCTGGAGAACTCTGAACTTCGGAGACACTTAGCGCACAAAATCACATCTCATCAAGTCATCGAACATCAAGTAGTTTCATAATGTTTCATATAGTTTCATTGTTCAGTCTGATCTTGGTCACATTGGATGATAGGGCACGTTCGTCAAGGGCTTTGTGATGCTTTGTGTGCACGACATGGAAATAGAATGGAAGGTCTTCGTAGCTTGTGGTGCAAAATTCATGTGATATCCGAGGTCAGTACCGTAGAGTCAATCACTGGAAGAAGATCTTCCAAGGAAACGACCTCTTCGTGGCTGATCACGGCGTCACATGCCGTCACCAACGCCAATGTCACATGGGCCCTGGGCCACATAGCCAGCAGGGCTACAACATGGTGCAGTCCTCATTCTGACCACGCACAAGCTCCATCCGCGTTAGCAAGTCTTCGAGCCTTTACAAGCAGGCTTAGGATCTCTTAGGTAAAGGGTGACAACTGATCCTCTCCAAAATTCTAGAAATTCTAAACGTTCATTATCCGTTCATTCAGAATGATTCATGGTTTTTCATTGAGGCCGGCAGATTCAAATCAATGGAGATTGAACTTCTGTGGGCCCAGCGCTGACCGTCGCACGTAACCAACCTGGGAATGACCAACCACTGAACAGCTTAGCATAGCTCAGCCGGACCATGGGCCATGGCGGCCATGGGTCTGGGATCTGGGACATCTTCCATGTCCCGCCATGATTCACAAGATCTGGGTGTGGTGCAAAGAGTTCACCATCGACGATGGGAAAGCCTCTAAAGGTAAAGGCGCGAACCATGACCCGGATGTCCTGGCAATGTGCCGCATGTGCCCCTGGCAATTCCATCTTGAGAATGTGCCAACAGATGCCAACAGGTTGCAGATGGTTGCAGCATGTTGCAGCACCTTGTCAAGGCTTTGACACGAGTACATCTGAAAGAAGACATTTCCAGGCGTGCGTGCAAATCTCATGCCAAATCTCCATGAATATTTATTGCTTGTGCATGTGCAGATGATAGAATGTGCTACCGGACCCTTTCTGTTCTTTTACGCCGTGGTTCGTTGGTCAGAACGAGACCGTTTCAGGCATCTACTCTGATTGTTTGCATGTGCATGCGGCAGCTCTGTCCTGCAATCGTGGGCGAAGACTCATGTTGAGCTTCACTAAGCCTCACGGCCAACAACCCAGTTTGTGTCTGAAAGGTTGCGAAAGTGAATTCATTTATTAGGCCCAAACCTGTCTCCATGATGTCGTAGCACCGTTCAGTAAATGTGACGTCCAACCTCAGCCAACAACATTGATGCTTTGCAGCACATGTAGCTCCCATTAGCTCCCCTGGCTTGAGTTTCATATTGCAATTGTTCCGTACAAATTGGGTGATGAACAACTCATGATCTGCAAAATTCCTGGGTCCCAACATCTCCCAATAACATTTGCTCAGCTTCCGGCTCTTCATGCAGAAAGGGGTATCCTTTCAGCACAATCTGCAGATCGTAGATGCCTGGCCAGGGGGAAGCCATCTGTTCCCGTGGCCCTCAGGGTATGAGGACTTCAAGGGCCGGACCCTCGTTCAATGAATCACCCACTGCTTTGGCCATCAACACTGAGATCATGAAGGGGACGATGTAGTCCAAGCCTTCCAAATTGCAAACGAAGCACAGGCACGTCATGGTATATATGGTATGGAGTGACATTCAATGAAATCCATGCCTGGTGTCTGACTCTGCGAGTGTCAAGTATGTATATAAACAGGAGCCAGTAGGGGGCCTCTTCCCCAGAACCCTTTATCATCCTTTATCCATCTAAAAATCCGATATCCTTCATCAAGAGATTGCTGAAAAACTGCCAGGCTGCCATGAAAAATGCCTCCAGTAAGTTCCAACATGATGACCACCAAAGAGATGGTCCTCGGACAAGTCGCAGCTGGAAAACCCCTTCCTTTCCAATGTCAGCAGGGAACTGAGGCACTGTCATCCTACTGACACCACCCAGGACTGATGCAGCGCCAACCATGGAATAGACCTGGGTAACTTGGAAGTCAAAGCGTCCGACAGAAGCAATAACTTCATTTATGTTTATTTATAGTTATTTATTCTATTTGTCTGCATGAAGATCTAAGACACACACACCAGGGTCGATCTTGTGTGGAAACCTCAGCGTCACTGACACTGCCCTGCCTCCGCTGACTTCCCGTGGAGTATAACATAGCAAACATAGCATAACTGATCTGTTCTGTTTCTCAGCATCCCACAAACGGCCTCCAGCATTCAAGGCTTTGAGACCCAGAGCCAAGCAGCGCCTTTGGTGTGGGACCAGTGTGGGATGGTGTGGGAAGGGCTTTCCGGACTCTGGCAGTAATTATTTGGGTCAATTGAACTGAGCTGATGTTGGTTTTGGCGATGGGGTTGAGCATCTTGGATTCAAACCTCCGTTCCCCAATCCCAAAATTCAACATAGGCGTGTTTTAAAGAAGATGCAGTCACAATGTGTTGTAACTCTATTTAGACCTCGCCCTGAACTGCTGTGTGGCATCCAGTGTTAGGTCAAAACTTCCAAGACCTGCTAAATCTGGTTTAATTCTGGTTTAATATGGTGCCTTCCACCTGCGACAGTTGCTGCCGAAGGCGCCCAAGGCAAGCTCCGATGAAGAGCGATGGCACAAAGAGTCCAGCTGGACAGGCCTTTGGAGGAACCGGGACATCCTTTGTCAACAACGGAAAAACAAGGAGGCTAAACTGGCCTAAAATGACCTAAATATGTTTGGTATGCTTTCATAATCTAAATCAACTTGAATGAACCTGACATGTTTGCTCCATTGGCGGGATGAGGCAGAATCTGCTCTTCTAGTTGGATTGGGTGCAGCAAGTGATCATTCCATTTATCAAATTATATACTTAATTAATTATTCCAAATGTCCAACAATGCTGATCATAGCTTTGTGTCTCATCACCTGAGGAAACAAGTCCATCTTTTTTCATCAAGACTGAAGAAAGCATGCGACGTCATATGGCAAATACGGAAGCTCATCCACTGTCTTATGGTACGGGGAGCATTGGGGGTCAATCCCGTCCCCACATGGGTTGGCCCTCCCCCACATTGGCACCAACGCTTCCCTAGAATATGAGTGCCCCGACAGTACCAATGGTCAATACTGTCTGGCCTGGGTGTGGATATCAACAACTGGGCAGGTGGCCAGTCGTGAGCTCTCAAGTGAAGTCTTCACTGCCGAAATACACCGAAATACCCCAAAGAGTTGCATCTTAAGCTAAAGCCATTGCCATGCCATTGTCCGACTTGGAAAGTGGAGGGTAGCCCTCACCGTTGTGCGCAAAGTCATTCGCGACCTTTTGACTTGGCGGCCCACCAGCCAGACTGAGATCTGTGCAGAAGCGGATCGCTGCAGCAACTCCCAGGGAGGTCAGTAGACCATTCCCGAAGGACTGGCGGGTGCTTGGGCGAAGGCTTCTAAGATAAACCGAATAAGATCCAATAAAGCATACACAAACAAGAAAGCCACTGTGTCACTGGCACAGGACAAACATCAGACATTAAAACTTCAAATGCAAGCACATGCCCAATCATGCCAATCTAAGGCAAACATATTCACGTATATTCACGCAGTGTTGGTTTAATGCAAATATATGTAAATTATAAATATATCATCGGGATTTATCGGGATATCGGGGCTGCGGATGATTGGATCCCAACTTTTGAATACTTTTGATGGGTTGTCACGCTGCACGACGCACGACTCTGCGCGGGTCGAAAATCTGGGACAATCCGGCGTTGCTGTAGCCATCTGTGCAAAGGCCGAACTCTCCTTGCAGCCTGCACGACCCCTTCACAATCCTTTGGAAATTGCTGAGATTCCCAGAAAGTAACTATAGGTGGGCAAAACCAACAATCTGACCGGGATAAAATGAGATGAAACACCAACTTGGATAAAATGAGATCATTGAAACAAACACCTTCCGCATGTCCATCCAATCCCTCTAAGCCTTGATGTTCTCCGTGTTCTTGAGTGATTACTTTGAAACCTTTTAGACTAGGCCCCATTTTCCTAAATATCACTAATAATCATTAATAATCTAAAGTGCCTGACAATGGGCGTCCTTCCGATCTGGTCATCGCCACCCAACCTGCCCTGTTTGTCTCCCTGCCTGCTGCGTACCGTCTCACCCGGCTCATTGCTGCAGGTGTCAAAAAGGGCATGGATTGTCTGCGCCTTGGAAGCTCAACCGTCTCTAAAAGGCCAGCATGTTTAAATGTGTTTAGTATACTCTTATATGATCTTACAATATCTATCAATATATGTTTCTATTTGATCAAGAATTCTCCTCCCAAAAACCAAATGCAGCCTATGTAGCCTATGCAGGGATGGGGCCACCTGCATGCCCTAGCCATATTTGAGATGTGGCACCAGAGCCACTAGAGTCACTAGAGTCTAGAGATGTCTAGAGGACACTTCTGGTGCGGTGTGTGTGTGTGTGATGGATGGGATGGCATGGAACGCTCTGTGGCCAGCGGGTATCGCCAAGATGGCCTTTACGATCCTCGTATTATAATGTTGCCATGCTCTTAGAAAGAAAAACTGAACAGCAGCAGAGTTTGCATCGTTGGGCGTTTGTCGCCTGTTGTTGCCTTCTGCTCCCACTTCTATGATTTATCTTCATCTGTACTTCTTGGCCGGATCCATCTGGATCCCCTACCATGTTTCTTAGGATTCCAGGATATTCCAGGACACATGCAGAAACCCATGCCCCCCAACAAACCAAGCTCCACACGTTGAGATAGCGAGTCAAACTCAACGGCCAAGATGAAATGAGCGTAATAAATGCCAGCAATGAAGCCTCACATGCCAGCAATGGCATTGAGATGCAGTCACACAAAAGATAGACTCAGATAGGCAACAGTCCTCCCATGTCCTCCCTGATCTACTTGTGTTGTGCTGGTTCAAGATGGTTCAAGGCCAGTCTCGCCTCCTGTACAGGGCCAACCCAGCGTCTGAAGCCCGGCTTCGCTTTAAAGGCACACCACCTCAGCCAAGGGTGTTCCAGGTAACACGAGGTCACAGAATCTTTTACAGGATAGTTTCACTGTATTCTACATGTATGAGAAGCATGTCCGTGCCACAGTCCACCATGGGAACCCTGGTGTCCACTTATTTATCTATGTATATATTATATATGATTATTATATGATTATGTGCGTGCCTGTGTGTGTGTCAAAAGTCAAAAAGATGTCAAAAAGACTATGTTACACTGTACCATCTTATTTAATATTGTTTTGAATAATGAATCCTCATGATCATCCCTGCGACCGTGCTTCTGCTCCACCAGGGGTCTCACCGAATATTCAGTGCATTGAACAGTGCACCGACCTCAGGGCATCTCAGGGCGACATTGAGATTCGCGTAGAGCCGTGGAGCCCATGAAAATCATCGCATCGCTAGGCCCGATGCCAAGCCACCTGCAGCACCCAATAGGGCAAACATGGCCTCAGCTTCCACACCATCCCAGTCGCACCGCAGCCTTCTGTTTTTTGATTCAGTTCAGAGCATGCATTGTCGAGTCAACCTGGAATACGTTCTGGACCTTCGGACGTTCGGACTATAGGGAACTATCTCCTTTCCGACATGACCGACCAGGACAAGACTTGATCATCGGACGTCGGCTGCTAGTGGGAAGATATGGGAAGATTGAAGATTGGATCCTCAATCATTTTGCCCCTATCGCCCCCTTCATTCACCTGGGTGCGGGACATAATCGCTGGGATGCAAAGTCACAGTGTAGGTCCTGGGTGCTGGTTGCAAACAGCTGCCGCAATACTTAAACATAGCTGTCATTCCAAGCAGGCAATCCACCAAAACGGTTCGCTCTGGAAGGGAGACTGGTTGGTGATTGGGGCATCCCTGCAGTTTTTGACACACCACCCTAATCTATGCAATCTTAGTAGGAGAAACCTCTCCCAGGATGAAATCAGCTGTTGAAAAAACAGCCCATCATCTGTGAGTGCAAAAAAAAACTCGAACTCTCGCAGTCATGTCGGGTGCACCGTGCTGGTGCACCGTGCTGGTGCACCGTGCTGGTGCACCGTGCTGGTGCACCGTGCTGGGGCCCACACACGCTGTACAAGGTCAAGTGACCAGTGCCAGTCAAATTTGACACAGAGAGCAGCAAGGTTGCGACGACCTCAGCAATCTCAGCAGCCAAACATCCAAAACCTGCTTGATGCAGCTCCTGACCTCCTGCGTGGCCAAATGTTGAAGAATTTTGGTGTCATCAATCATCACTGAATCAAGCTACTGCATAAGTCTATATATAATTCTCCGCATGTGTAGTTTTTACAGCCTATACAAGTACCGTTCACTCGTAACCGTCTTATGATACAAGTGCCTTATTGCGAGATATTGCGAGTACTGGCTCCCGAACCGATGCCACGAATGCCATCAACAGCGTCCGTGAGGGAAAAGAAGAGCTTACCTGAAGGTCTTGATGTGTCTTGATGTTTTGCTTCTATCGTAAAGAAATCACACACCGTGACAAAACAATCCAAACTATTCCAATCCATAGCTGCTTTTCATGTGCAAATCATAGATGCCTGCGCTTGAGTGTAGTGTAATTACTACGCTGAATCAGGCCCTCTATCTGATGTTTTTTGACACTAAACTTCCTGGTGGAAGAATCCTTGAAGATCCTTGAAGTATGCAGTATGAGTATTATGTGCTACACCTGCTACATCATGTTTCCAGAAAGAAGGCCTGTTGAAGCCAATGGACTGGATATGATGTGACATATCACATCATTCCTGCAGGCTCCTGCCTCAACTTTGAACCGAGTTTGGTGAAACATCGGCGCGGGTCTACCATGGTCTACCCACTGTGCCCTGTTTTAAACAGAGACAGTGGCACAACCCTTGGCACATCTTGGCATATCTTGGCATCTTGAGGCCAAGGTGTCACTTTTCAAAAGTTGAACAATGTTGGACGGGTGGACCCGCAGCAACCCACTGGGAGCTTACTGAACAGGACACACCTCCCATGCTTTGCATGTTTGACAAGGCTGGCAGCACGGGCGTTCACAGTTCGGACCACAGTTCTCCATGGATATCACTGGGAGTGCCTTGGTTTTCGATTCAGCATGCGCTGAAAAAATCGTGGTGAATTTGCGTCAACTGCCTGGACTCTGGCTCAACTGCTGTGTCAAATCTTAACGATCAGCATGTCTGCAAAAAAATCTACTAATATCTACTAGTTGCCATATAAAATAGGCAGGTTCAGGAGCTGTGCTGCTGGCATACTTCAAAACTAAGCACTGAACGCCACCAAATGCGCCAAGTGCCAGCAATGGCAAATCCTCTACCTGAATTTCCTCAGTTCCATGATGTGCCCACAAAGTGATTCCGGTGGCTGCTTCTGATAGTACCTGCAGGCATTTCACATGCTGCCAAGCGTCTGTGCACATACGCAGGTCTGACTTGTTGTCAAGAGGAAGAAGGGATGAGAGCATTCCAGACACGCTTCCAATAACATCGGGGCCTCGTGCAGGGGTGCCAGGACTGTCAGGAGTGCAGTGAGGATGGTGTGGCATGCTATGCTGTTGTGGCTTTCCCTTCAAACTGGATGACTTTACAGCTTGAATTCGACCAATTAATTGCAAGATCCCCCTGGAGTTTCCGCATGTCACGATTGAATTGGATCCATAGACTTGCAAGTCTGAGGCAAGAGTCACGTGAACCTTTCCATGACGCAATGGCTGCCTGCAGCCTTCAATTACCAACGCCACTACCATAGCTTTCCCCAACAATGTTCCATGCATATCTTGTGTGAATCTTGGGGGTCTATGCAAAACGAGGATCTTTGGCATAGTGGTCGCCACAAGTCACTTTGGGAGGACACGCGTGGCCTATGGATTAAATAGATGCCGCATATGGCGAAGTAAGTAGTGACCCTGTCATCACAGGCTATAGACAAATCACTTTGGGACCCCTCCTGACACTTTGGACAACTTTGGACATCAGCAAGCCTTCTAAGTGCCAGGACCACTTGGAGTTTGGGATGAACTCCAGCTTGGATCCAGGCATGATCTGTTGCAGCCTTTGCATGGCTTCTCCCACCACCACCAAGGGAGCTTGGTCACTCGCAGCTAGCACAACAGGAGGAGATTCAATCGGCCACACATGCAATGATGTAAACATGCTGGTGATATGTTCGAAATTGTATGATGGCTGGAGCATAGCCATTTCCCAGAAATTGGGCGATGCCGCTTCCAAAGCCTCCTTGTACATCGCTTTAGTTTCCTCCAGCCCCGACGGCCCACCCGTAGGATACATAAAATCTGGCAACAGCGTGAGAATTGCTTCGTAGTCCTGCTTGCCATACGTTTCTCCAAGGTAAGCCATGCGCTTGCGAATCTTCTGCGCCAAATCAGTCTGCTCAAAATCAGGCGCATTGAACAAATGAACATTTATGATCAGTAATCCTGCCAGGAAAGGCCGCAGTTCCCATGCCAAGAATGTGCCGGGGCCAAAGGAACTGTCCACCAGGACAAATTTTGGGCCCAGCTCCGGCAACAAGGCCTGTACCAAGTTGCTGAGGTCTTTCATGAAGGCTTCTGGTCCCTCCTTCAACAGTCCTGGCTTCACTGAGTCTTCGTTCACGGCCCAAATTTTGACAAATTCAGTCTGCGCCCATTCCTCCAAAATGCCCTTCTGCAACGAGAATGGAATGAAACGAGGACACCCGATGTACAGAATGTTTGCAATTGCAGGTGTGGCAGGCTCAATCATTACAACCGGGCGCTTCTCCCCATTCACCGTGACATAAATGGTAGTTGCCTTTGAATCCACCTTGGATGGAAGCACAGATGTGAGCATGGCCGAAACCTCATCAATCACGTCCCCTCCTTCTAAGTGCCAGGACCACTTGGAGTTTGGGATGAACTCCAGCTTGGATCCAGGCATGATCTGTTGCAGCCTTTGCATGGCTTCGCCCACCACCACCAAGGGAGCTTGGTCACTCGCAGCTAGCACAACAGGAGGAGATTCAATCGGCCACACCTGCAATGATGTAAACATGCTGGTGATATGTTCGAAATTGTATGATGGCTGGAGCATAGCCATTTCCCAGAAATTGGGCGATGCCGCTTCCAAAGCCTCCTTGTACGTCGCTTTAGTTTCCTCCAGCCCCGACGGCCCACCCGTAGGATACATAAAATCTGGCAACAGCGTGAGAATTGCTTCATAGTCCTGCTTGCCATACGTTTCTCCGAGGTAAGCCATGCGCTTGCGAATCTTCTGCGCCAAATCAGTCTGCTCAAAATCAGGCGCATTGAACAAATGAACATTTATGATCAGTAATCCTGCCAGGAAAGGCCGCAGTTCCCATGCCAAGAATGTGCCGGGGCCAAAGGAACTGTCCACCAGGACAAATTTTGGGCCCAGCTCCGGCAACAAGGCCTGTACCAAGTTGCTGAGGTCTTTCATGAAGGCTTCTGGTCCCTCCTTCAACAGTCCTGGCTTCACTGAGTCTTCGTTCACGGCCCAAATCTCAAAGCCTTCTGCTGCTGCCCAGGACTCCACGGCTGGTTCTTGTAGGGACCATGGGATAAAGCGAGGGAAACCCAGGTAGAGAATTCGACCAACCGCTTGAAAGCGTGGTTCGATGTGTTTCACCTCTCGCGTCTCTGGGCCCAAGTCTATAGTGACGGTGGAGGACTTCACTTGGAATCGTCCGGCTTTTCTCTTACCTTGGCCATGCCAATATGCAGCAGGTCAATGTGAAAAGTTGGACCTTGAGCCTTGAACCTGGCATCACCTGTCTGTGGGGACACTTGCCAATAGCCCCTGGTGCCTTTTGCTTCCAAAAAATGCATCCTCCAAAACAATCCAAAACAGAGAGATTCCAATGGATAGGAGGCTTGTTAAGTTGTTAAGGGTAAACTATGATAAACTGGACAAAAGGTCGCCATATGTCGCCATTTTGCGTTGGTTTGAGTCTTGGCTTTCCACCAAATCTGGATGCTCTCGCGTTTGCCTCAGCTTCTCTTAATCGCCACCGCAGAAAAGTGCTCTGGTGCGGCTGGAAATGGCTGGAATGATGTCACAGTCCCCTGACATGCTCAGAACGGTTGACAGCCGTGACAGCCCAGTGAAGCCTACGGCGCAGTAAGAAATGGCAGCAGTTCAAAAGCCAAGCAGCTCGTCCAGCCAGTCGAGGACCTGGGCTGGAACATGTGGATGAGAGGAGCATAGCCGGTGGGCCGGTGGGCAGAAAAAATCAAAGCTGATTGCTTCACGACAAGCCTCAAAGGGGTGACAATTGATGCTTTCTTGGGTGCTAAATTCGCAGCAAAAGCAAAAGAGAGAGAAAGACACAGAGAGAGAGAGAGAGACAGAAAGGAAGAAATAAAAAAGGAAGAAAGAAAAAAAGGAAGAAAGAAGCAAGAGAAAGAATGAAAGCAAGGCAAATGAAGGAACGCCGAACTACACGAATCCATACCACGACGAAAGACCAGGTTGTTGGCGATGGTCACTGACAGCGAACAATAGGCTTTTGCATCATTTTGCCATCAAGTCACGGGTTTATATGGTCCGCCCTTCACAGCTGTCATTGCCCAGACTTCCATCCGGTCAAAGACTCGCAACCCCGCCTCGGAAAAAGTGAGGCATTGTCAATGCAGAAACTGGATGTTGCTGGGATTCTTGCCAATTGCTACACGGATTTCTCTCTGGGTTATACTTGTGCGTAGTGGATGTTGTGTTGACAAATGATTAAGAAAAAAAAAACACTTTTGGAATGTGTTTCATTCCCTCTCTCTCTCTCTCTCTCTCGCTCTCATGTGCAAGTGGCATGTCCGCACAATTGCTCAGGCCAGAACCAACATGAATGGGTTTACTAAGGTTCACCAGGTGTTTATCCTCTAGAAATGTTCGGCCCATTTCACCATTCATGGCCTCTAAAACTCCAAACGAAAGGATTGTACCTTTTCCAGTTGCGATACTTTCTTGATACTGTAATTATATATATAATTCACATGCTTGGACCCCCAAAGCACTACCAACCTCCCGTTGTGGTTCCACTTTGCTAGCCGCTAGAATCGACCACTGCAGCTGGGCAACTCGATTCCTCAGCCGGGCACTGTGTTTAGCAATGTCTCATGCCGCTTCAAAACTCTTGATGCATGCAGCTCGCATAATTCAACTGCAAACAAGGCGCGCTTTCTTCAAATATCTTGCGTCTGGAGCCAGCTGGATTAATAGATTCAGAGTGAGCTCGTCAGCATAGAGCGGAATGACATGAGCTGCAGTATTCCCTTGCTTGTCACGTTGTCCTGGTCCGTACGGTGAGAGGAAACGCTACACTTTTTATAGATGGGACTCCAGAATTATTTGTATAATGTTGTAATGTTGTATATAGATCTCAAGGGCAAACTAACAACTCATAACAACTCACACCCTCACACCAATTATTATAGTATACTATAGTACTATACTATAGTACTATACTATAGTACACTATAATTAGTCATTTTGTTCTATTTTGTTCTATTTTGTTCTATGCTACTTCGTTGTGCACGCCATTTTTCACAACCAGTGGCATCTCGCCTGCGGTAGCTCCATTGGCCAGCAAGAACTGGACCACATCCAGGTTCCGCCACCTGCCCGGGAGAGCTGGGGCAGGGGGAGGTGCACTGGCCTTGCAGCACTGGATAGCACTGGTGTAGAACCGTTGAGACCGTTGAGTGTTGAACTATGTTGAACTGTTCCTGGCCTTGTGGCATTGTGTAGCGGGCTGTAGCCTCGACCATCTTGAATGGTGAGATCCGCTTTCCTGATAGGCAGTTTGACAAATTTGACGGCAAATCCAGCTGACAGCCAAAAATGACTTACGTGCACATGACATGCCGAAACAATCCTAAACATATAATTATGCATGGATCTGGACATATATACACACATACAATACTGTATATATTATGTATATATATATATACCGGTATAATATATATATATAATATATATATATAATATATATATATATATGTGCGTGTGTGTGTGTGTTCTAAATTCCTTTGCCCAAAAGCGGCGCTTGGGCCCACCTTGGGAAAACCTTGCTGGTATCTTGCGTGATCACAGTCCCGCTTGAGTTTTTTTCAATCTTTCCATTGCTTAAAAATCCAGTTGCCTTCGGCAAAAACTTGGGCCGGCCTTGCGCGAAACTTGCGCGATGCAGGTCCCAAGCTACCCAAGAGGTTCTCGACAAACCCTTCTATAAAATCAAAGTTGACTTGTGCATCTTGGAACATCTTGGAACGGCTCTATACATAATACATACTTAACATCTGTAAAACATAGTATTGCTATTATATAATTACACATGTCATATTTATCATTATCACTATATATTAATTAATCATATGCACAGGTAGAGATAGATAGGTAGATAGATAGATAGATAGGTTGACAGACAGACAGACAAACAAATAGAAAAATATATGGATGCATGAATGGCAGGGAAGGGAAAAAAGGAATGCATAATACGCAGCATGCTTTAGCATGGCGCTCTACCACGTTTTCTTTTGACTTATTGTCCGGTTTGGGTAATTTTTGTCTCCAGGATCCTAGGGACAAACTTTGGACAAAAATTGCCACAAATTACCCAAACCTAGGGGCAATCATTGCAAAACAGCTTCTAAAGAGGAGAGACATGCTATCGCATACTGACAGCACTTTTTCATAGAAACATCGGGAAATATCACGGTGTCCAGGCAAACGGAACATAGCTCTAAAAGCAGGTAAAACATGGTAAAACTATACACAATTACACACATGGTTGGGGGATGGGGGAATTGTTCTCCAAACTTCAGACATCTTCAGAGTCGACCCAGTCCATCAAGGATCACCAAAATTCACCAAAGGGCTCAGTCCACACCCCTCCTGCGTGGATTTTCCCCGTGGGACCCGTGGGACAGGCCACTGTTTACCTTTCACTATCTTTCACTCCTTCACCCCCTATTCATCCTAGACCATCCTAGCTAATCCAATCTATGCTGTTATGGGAAGTAATTAATTTGTGCACAGACAAGCCCTCGTTCCGCCAACGAACGACATCAGTGCTTGCACAAGCATCAGGTTTAGCAAAGAAGTGCAATCTTCCAGTGACAAATTTCTGACCGTCATGGCCAGGGCTAGAGAAACTCGTTCCCGCAGATTTGTCAGCAAAGAAAAGACCAGATCAACATCCTTGGATGGCTGATGCAAAGGGATTTACCTTCCAAAGACCTGCAAGTGAACTAGCCTTGATGAGACAATGGTAGAGTATGGTGCAGTTGTCTTTGCACTGGCCTTAGGCCATTTTTGGCCATCCCAGTCGAGCGAGCCCCAGAAATGTTGGGCCCCGTTCTGAACAGCAGCGATTTCTATAGGCCGATCAGCCAATGATAGCCAGGATCAATAAATTAATCATCGCAGAAAGTTGTAAAACTCCAGATTATCCTCAAAGCTTCCAGGAGCCGGGCCTATCTCGGGCCCTAGGTTTTCGGGCCAAGTGGGTTGAGGCCCCTTTCTCTGCAACCCAGCTTCGGTGACCTTTGTCTTTGACGATGCCGCCTTCTTGTCGATGGAAGTTGCAGTGAAAGTCTTCTGGCGAATTTCGGCGATGTATTCCTCCATCGTCTCCTTGCTGGGGGCCTCCAAGAAACACAATGACATATATAATGTGACCTATAATATCCTATAATTACCCCTGGTGCTTCAGAACCGGGAGGAGCTTCTGCAAATCCAACCACTTGGAAGCAATTGGCGAAAAACACTTTAAAAATCTTAAAGACATAAATCACAGCTGCCCCTTGACCAAGACTCTTGTAGGTCTTTGTTGCTTGTTGAGGCGGATTGTCGCAAATGCTTGGCTCGGCTCAATATGGACCTGGGATCAGTGGCCCAGGCATCCGCAGGAGGCTCACCACAAGCACAGACTATGACAAACTCATCATATCATGTCATATCATGCCATATCATGCCATATCCAATCACGAACAATCACATCTGGAACAGGGCTTGGAACGGCTCCACCAAGGAGTCGAGCGGCTCTTTCAGCTCTGGGATGTTGGCATAAACTGTTCGAGCCTTGCCACCAGCAAGGCCAATGGGCCATCCAAAACGTGAGAAAGGGATGCAGGGCTCACTGAACTTGCTCTTTCATGATAATTACTTGATCTATTCTGATTTCTCTTGATTTGGCGTCCGAGTCGTCGTGGGCTGACAAAATGTGGCCAAGATTGGCCAAGGCTCAGCATATTGCTCGTCGGTGAGCGCGACACGAATGGTAGAAACCAAGCGCTCAAAGTAGATCCAACCTACAACAGGTGGCTGAAGCAGCTTAAAAAAAAAAAAACAGCTTTGCTGTGAGATCACATTCTTAGTGGAGCCGCCCGATGAGGTGGAACTGGAACCACATAAAAGGTGCAACCTCTCTCATCGCAAAATGCCACTATAGAATTATATTTAAAATCTATTGTAGCAACGTCAATATGTGATCATACAGCCACACCGAGGAAAATAATTTACAGTAAGTCTTGCACAGTCCTGCCGCTTCTGTACCAGTTGAGCTGACAATAGTTCAAGCCGATTTGATATACCGAATAGATGAGCCCACCTCTTTCGCTGGCTGGCACTGCGTTCCGTCTGCCCATTGGCGACGGCTGAACGACAAACCTCGGATGAAACATGATGAAACATGATGACACGTCAGAAAACGCGGGCCAATAAAGCGGCATGAAATGGAAGCTGAGGCAGCGGAATTTCAACTCGGGCTCAGTAACACAGGGTCAACGGGCTCCTTGCCACATGGTCCAGCTCGGCAGAAAATTCTTCGGAGGTTCAGGCACATAGAGTCTCAGGTGAGATCAGGTGTGGCATCAGAGGCATGAACTTTTTCAACGACTCGGAGTCAACTCGGAGTCACTGCTGCTTCCAAAGCAAGAGGGGCTCATATGGCAGGTGCCAACTTCTCCGGTTTAGATCATCGAAGGGACAAATCTCATCTGCCTATTTGCAATCCAGCTACGGATCAAAACCCTTTCACAGAAAAATAGCTGGTTGGCAGCTGCTTCTTTATGATTTTTCTGTATGTCCATCATCCCGGAAACTCTTAAAAAAATCATATAGTGGTCATAGGTTGTCACATGTTCTCGTCCCCATGTCTGCATTCATGGCCAGGGCACGTCTGCGTCGAACGGCATGTAGCTTGGAGACGCTGGTGATCCTCGATATCCCCGAGGGATCGCTACGAAGTGTAAAGACCGGCAGCTCCGAGGTGGTGCCATCCTGATGGGATAGGGGGCGGCATGGATCTGCTGATGTAAATTAACATATTATCTATGGTTTTAAACATCAACACAGAGAGAGAATCTCTCTATATATTTAATTTTCTGTAATCATAAATTTGTTATGATACATGATGATACATGTATGATATGGACCATCCATGGAGCAAGGAATTGGGCTACAGTGTTTGAACATGTTTTGACATAACTTACTGGTATTCAACTAATATAAGACTACTATTATATATATATATAAACAAAACTTCCGTTGCTCTTGAGCTCTTGAGCTGAATTCTTTTGGCCTAATGTGGGTAAAACAATAATAAACCATCCCCCAAGCCATAAATGTGTGGTATAAACCATAAACCATTCCCAAATGGTTGTTTTAATTAATTGTTTAACTATTGTTTTATCCACATCAATCCCACCACCGTATCCCACATGTCATTTCTGCGTGGGCCGTGGCATATGTTATGGCCAGGTCCTTGGCCGGAACTTGTTCATGCGCGATGACGCGGGAGCCATTCCTGGCGCCGAGGGGTGTCCATGGCTATCCCAAGACTCCCACATTGACACCGCACCATGGTGCACCACTTTCTGCGTGCCCAGGGTCTGCTTGAAATTCAGTCTTGCAATCTCACTCCAATGGACCTTGGTCCAGTTGGCTTCCGAATCGGATTTGCTGACCTGGCCTCACTAGTACTTATCCTGAACTGTCTCATCACAACAGTTGCCAATGTTCTGTAAGACTGGCCAGGCACGCGGTGAGTCGTTTTCTCAACATCTAATTCTGGCCAATCCCCTTCCACATGCAAGACGGCATCTGCAGTGAAGAAGACCTGGCACAGTTGTGAGGCTGACATGGAGTTCTTATCATTTCGTACCTACTTCATATTGCTTCACATGCCAGGATACAGCCTTACTACACCTTTTACATCCCACATCCCTTCAGCATGTCAGATCAAAGTTCACTTTCCGCATGAAGTACCCTCGACCGCCTCCGGAAGGGCTGCAATCGCCCTGAGAAAAGCTTTTTGTTCTTCAGGAGTTCGCTCAGTTTGTCCAGCTTCAAAGGGATTCTGGCTCATACCTTTCAGTGCGAGCGACTTGAAATTCCATGCTTCAAGAAACCAAGCGCAATGAGCGATCATCTGTGACGACCGTCCGTCTCAAAAAATTGGATAGCTGCGGCGATTACTGCGGGAGGTTTGGTCAATCTTTTTGTGCCGGATACCTATGTATATATATATATATACTATATGTGTATGTATATATATATATATACTGCTAAAGGGAACTAAACGGTACTGCACACATGTATACGCATGTGGAGTAGGCCTGACATGACGCCAAATATATGGCTCAAGTCGCAAGGGAAAACGGTGTTTGCGCTGCTCAGCAATGCTGCCTGGACTCCGGCTACTAGGACGCTAGGGACTCCAACAACTACAACCAGATATCCGGGAACAAGGATTAAAATTGCTCACAGGTTATCAGCCGTAAGGGCTCACTTCTTCCGTCGGAAGAGGAGTACCTGCGTGCTGGTAGCCGGGCTGTCAGAGCTTAAGATTGTGGACGCAAAGGGCCAATCAGCTCATCATCGCAAAGATGCAGGGCGGCAGCGGGGACTCGCGCAACACGCAGTTTACCTTCAACGAGAACGCTGCTATGCCGGTCGGGGAGGTCACTCAATCTTCCCCTGGCGACACAGCAGACAGTGGTGGGATACGCCCTACCCGAACTACACAGTCCGGATGGCAAGTTACATCAAACAGACGAAGAATGTCCACCCAAAGTACACCAAGATCTTCTCGAAACAGTGCTCGAAGTGATGTTGTCCGCCAAGGGCATCGACCATCTCGAGGACGAACTACCCCAAGGGACAGATCCACCAGGGCCGGAACCGACCGAATTGGTGAGAGGACCGGGGACACTCGCGTTAAGAGGAGATCAACGGATACTTCTGTGGCTAGTGAACCTATTGCCATCATAGAAGAACTACGGGCACAATGTCAATCCTTACGCAATCAGTTGAACAATATGGAAGCATATGCTGCATCAAGAGATCAACTGATTCATGACATCGAGATCAGATTCACTGAATATCTTCAGGAACAAAACCAGAATGTGTTTGATGAGGTCAATGCACTCAATCATAGATTGTCATGTTCCGCAAATGAGGTTGCAGAGTATCAAGCAGAACTAATGGTAGCATCTCAGGAAGACGAAGGTGCAACAATACGCATCCAAGACCTTGAACGCCGAGGTGCCCTGATGGAACACGGTGCAAGACGGATCCATCAACGCGGTATGGAGATCCAGGAAGAGTACAAGGATGAAGTACATCACCTTCAAGGACTATTGGGTAATACGGAGGCAAGACTGCAACAACTTCATCAGACCAATGTCTTAACTACCGATATTGCCAACCGATTGTACACTGAAGGTCAAGAAATGCAGACGGATTTCCAGAACTCAATCATGGAATATCGTAATCGATCCGAAATGGCATCCTTCTCAAGCAATCAACTTGAAATGATTAGCCAACAACAATCAATTGCAGTTCATGAATTGTCTGAACGGAATCAGCGATTGAGTGAAGCTCTAGTTCAGTCTCGTAAACAGGCCGAGTTGTATGAAAACAGTATTGAAGAGATCACTAGAGAATCTAGAAAGAAGGTTTTCGAGGCAAATCAGGCCAAATTGGAAAGCGATCTGAAACACCGAAACACTGAACATGATACTGTCAGAAGAATCGCATCATAGAGGAACAACGAGGCCGAAGCGATATCGCACCTGAGGCTTGAATCACAGGCTAGTGCAAATGCGATCGCGAGGGCAGAGCACTGTGAAGAGCTCTACGCCAACGAGCAGGAGATGAACTGTGAATTGAAGGATGAGATCAGATTGCAGAACGTGAAGTTGCGAAGATCATCAACTCCGGGCACTACGATCGACGGTCGTGGCCCTGATAAGATGCTTGTTGAAGATCTACGGAACCAAGCCAAAATCGCTCAAATCAGGGTTCAGGATCTAGACCATGAAGTTCATGAATGTTTACAGGAGAACATGTTGTTAAAAGAAAGATTGACTGAAGTTGCGGATGTAGGGGCGTCGTCCTTCTCCAATGCTGAAGTCCGAGCTTTAAGATCTGAACTAGAAAGTGAGCGCAAAATGAAATTGGCTAGTGGTGTTCAGCAATATGAGAGATCATGCATGTTCATGGGGGAAATTCAGGATAGGGATGAAAAGATTGGTATCAAGAATTCTGAGATTATTGACATGAAACGTCGCATAGACGAACTGAGAAAGAGTCTCAAGGATTCTGAAACATCTATGTCCAGGGTTAACCCTGATACGCTTCCCTATTCGGCAGGTATCCCCAACTATGATCTCGCATCAAGACTGGTCATTGATAGACTGGAGAATGAGGTGAGTGAGGCTAACTCCGAGAACTCTGTCCTGAAATCATGGGTATCGCAGATCGACAAGGAGTTGACCTACGAGACTAATATTGCTCTCTCCTATCACGGGCATGCTGGACCATCTCAAAATCAACCATCTCAATCGAACAAAAGGATCACCGACCTGCTGAAAGAAGTTGACAACAAGATCGCCGATGGAACCGAGAAGGACTACTACAAGCCTCCGGGCGGAAGGGGTGGACCACCTGACCCTGATGGGCCTCCTGACCCTTTTGGATCTAATGGTCCAGGACCACCTCCAGAACCTCCTGGTTTGCCTTCAGTTCGGGGATCACAACGCGATTCAGCAGATGATATCTCCACCGCGGCGTATACGGCAGAAGAAGTACCGAGAATGTCAAGACGAGAGGCTGACAAAGTCTATGTTAGCCCATGGCCGAAGCAACAGAACCTTGGGGTTTGGCAGTCAGATCTCATCAAGGGTGTTGTTCTTGCCGCGAATGATGGAGACAAAGCTGCATGGGAAGCATGGCTACAGCCGGCTATTCGACCAAATCCTGACATCGAGCTACTGCATGACAGTGGTGGGCAACGATATCAGTCGATCGACGCCAAGTTGTCAATCGCATTGTCGAACGTGATAGCCCAAGCCGGTGATGTTGCTCGTCATGTAGCAATTAAACTAAGATTGAGAACACAGAGTCATAGTCGAAGAGGAACCTATGTTATGGGACGAGAAATTTTGGCTATGATTCTGGAACACTTCAGGACACCAGGTCAACGAGAGACAGCCTTCACCATGGAGCACATCGTATCGATGAAGTATCTCGGTGACTCCAACCTGGAAGTGTTCTACGAGAAGTGGATGGAGATGGTATCAAACATGATGCCGGATGATGTACCTCCTGATGATTGGCTTCGTGACTCTCTGTACAAGAAGATTCGGAATTCGAGTCTCATGATGTTCGACATCAAGCAGTACGAATCATGGATTGAAGGAGATCAAAGACGAAGCTATCGTTACCTGTTGGACGTCATCGAAAGGCACATATCCAGGATCAGAGAAGACAAGCATGTGGCCGCCAGAGAGAAGTACGCAAGAGACTTTGCAGGTGGTGGCAAACCCACTACTCCTGCACCAAATCCAACTGCTGCTGCACCAGATGCCAATCCGAAGGCGAAGGCTAAAGCCAATCCCAAGGAGAAGGCAGCACCTAAGGCGAAGGCCAAGGCTGAGGCAGCTCCAGTTCTACCATCACCTCAACCAAAACAGCATGCAAAAGGAAAAGGGAAAGGTCAAGGGAAAGGAAACGGACGGTCAAACAGCCGAAGTGCTAGTCCTAGATCCAAGAAGAAGATCCCATGTCATTTCCACTTCATCAAGAAAGCATGCAGAAAAGGAAAAGATTGTGAATACAGTCACGACCAAAAGGTGTTTGATGCGAACAAGAACACGAAAGGTAATGGTCGAAAGCCAGGAACTCCGAGAAGTCAATCTCCAGCGAACAAGACCAAGAAGATTGATGAACCATGCTGGCACTGGGCCAAGGGCAAGTGCCGATACGGAGACAAATGCAACAAACGTCACGATCCTCATCTCTTCAACACTGCTCCGAACACCGAAGCATCAAGCTCAAAGGCTACTCCTGCACTTGTCCATGAATGGAGTGATGACGAAGGGACATTCCACAAGGTTGCATCGAATGTCGTCAAGAAGAAGGTCAGATTTGATGAGTCCAAGACTTGCATCCAAACGTACGTGAAGAAGGACTTCGTGAAGTGCAGCCGGAAATCCCAGACCATCCCCAAAGGTCATGGTAAAGTCGGCAAGCCCACCGATCAGATAAGGCAAGATGAGCAATGGTCTTATTCATGCAGACTAGCATCGAGCCGAGGGAAGGCAATGGCTATCCTGATCGATGAGAAGGGCGAGTACAGTGACATTGATGAAGTCCTAGTCATCGTCGGCCCCAGTCTGGACATTCTGATCAGGTTCGACATCGAGGACGGTGAGGTATCCAGGGAGGTCTTCGTGGAGAACTATGTTCAACATGTCGAGGGTCGATATGGCAAAAGGGGTAACACGATGTGTATCACTGTTCCTGTTGAAGAAAGAGATAAGAGATTCATATTGGATTCTGGAAGTGGTCATGATCTTATCTCATCCACACGAATAAGTAGAATGGATCTCCCAACATATGATGATAAAGTCGTCAACTTCCATACAGCAAACGGGGTAACATGTTCGACCAAACGATCAAGTATCAAGTTCGAGGCATTCAACGAGCCAGCAGAAGCTCACATCCTGGAAGACACGCCTTCCGTAATCTCCATGGGCAAGCGGTGCGTTGACCTTGGTTATTCGTTCGTATGGCCGACTGGGAAAACTCCTTTCATGTTAGATCCCAATGGCAACATCATCGAAATGACTGTCAAAGACTACATTCCTTATGTGAGTGTCGATCAAGAGAAGAGAAAGCTAAAATCATCCTGCGTGGAAAAGATCATGGCAGTTCTTGATGATGAGTGCTCAACGTCAGAAGGCGAAGGTCTTTTGGTTATTGATGGAGAGAGTGGGGATGAGCTTGAGGATCTTTCCGACGCCGTTGGACGATCCGATGGTGAATCTCCCAAGAAATCAACAAAGAAACGTAAGAAAGCAAAG